TTCTATTTAGGGGCCCTTGCCAGTGCTCCGCATGAATCCGATTTTTCTCGGATTTGGATTCGTTCGAATCTGGATTCGCACTGATCCTAATGTCGAGGAGCAGGATTCGGATTCGGATTCGAGTGAATCGAATCCCGTGAAACCAGGATTCGGATCCGATTCGTAGTGATTCGAATCTGATTCACAACTTGCACAACTTCAACAAATCAATTAATCGGTTAAAATAAACGTGTTTGAATTGTTTTCGATACGTTGTTCAACACATAATTTATTCATTTATTATAAATTGAAAATTTGTCGAAGACCACGCAGTATTTCCGAAAATTTTACATCTCACATTTGGTGTCACACTTGATTTTCATCTCGACTCACGATATAACCAGGGTTTTGACCAGGGTGTAAATCTAGATGGAACTTTGGGCATTCTGAGTTTGCCGGATAAGTTTTAAGATTTAACAAGGGATACATATAATAAGGTATCACACACATATTTTTGGTGCTAAGCTTTATTCGAAGTAGCAAAAATAGACTGTGATATCAGCATTTTATTTAACCAATTTTCTCGGTAATTGGCGCTAAAAAATACTGCTCAAAACTTTACAAACTATATTGACGTCAAAGTTATTACGCAATTTTAACCTGGAATTATTCAAGTTGTTTTGAGAGTTACTGTTATGTTTGAGAGTCACTTCATCTTCAAATAATTAGCTCGCTAATTAAAGTAGGTGGAAATAGGTTTTTGCTTTACAAAATTTCCCAACTTTAAAGTACAAATAATATCGCATACTACCAAAAAAAATTGATGAGATATGGAAAACACGGGAAATGGGAGAAACTCTGTTTTGGGCAATCCGAAACAACTTCTTTAAAACTCCATTTCAATTTTTTACATTATAATTGTACAATCTTCCATATTTTTGTAATAATAAGTTTTCGTAATCTCTATTCTATGTAGACCTGAAGATGCAAAATAAAATGCGAAACCGGTCGTCTGTGAGATTAAATTGGAAATCGATGTGTTAATTTGGCCCAACTTAATTTACATTTTGACAGCCCATTCACAAGATTTTCGAAATTTTAAAAATGGTAACAAATATTTTCCCGATTTTTCCACCAGCCGGGAGCAAAAAAATTTTTGGACGGGTAAAACAAAACCCTGAATATAACACTATGCGCGTATTGTGCATTAATGAAGGATTCGAATCATGTGCTGGTCCGATTCTGATTCGACCAAATCCGAATCTTGAAATGCCGGATTCGTGGTCCGTTTCGAATGTATCAAATCCGCCAAATTTAGGATGCGGATTCGGATTAATGCGGAAACAAATTTCATCCAAATCTGGATTTTTTAAAACGCTGTAACTTATCGAATTTCAACCCGTTTCAAAAGTTGAGTACGATTTTTCTCACAATTTACTCCCCTGAAATTTTAAAAATTCATTTTCAAAAAACTTATAATTTACAAATAAATCAATCGTTTTTACATTTGTGTAAACTCGTAATAAATACGAAATTTCAAAATTTTTATAACTTCAAGGAAGTCTGATAAAAATTGTGCTTAATTTTTGAAATCGGGAAACTCGAAAAGTTACTGTATTTTGAAAATTTCTCCACGGACGAAAACATCCGCATTCTGGAAAACGCACTGATTTCTGATACATGCATTATATACCTATGCAAGTATTTTGAACTTCAAAGCTAGAGATTTTCATGGTAAAGTTATTTTTCGCGTTAAATTTGGCCCTTTTTGACTTTGTTTTTGAACTGTGTCGTGTACTTGGTGACCCAACTCACATGCAGCTGACATATTTTAACAACTTTTCTATTTTGAGTTTGGGTCTGAGTGCTTCCTGGTTTGTCAGAGCGTCGATTTTTCGAAAAACGCTACACGTTACCTTTCTGGGGAGAATCTCCCCAGAAAGGTAACATCTCCCCGGGAGATGTTACCTTAGAGGAAATTAGCAGGATTACAGTCCTGCTAATTTAGATTTTCATACAATTCCAACCGATACCCAAGACTCTGTAGAATTAGGAACACTATTAGACTTCGGATGGGAATTTCTTCGGCAAGGCTTGACCAATTTCTTAAACCAAACGTTTTATGCACGCTAGACAAGTACGTTTCGAAAATAAAATTACATAAATACCTAAAATCCTTCTCGCGCCTAATTTGCTCAGTTTTGGTTTGATCAAAATAGCAAAATTGACCCTCTATGGACTCTTTCTCAAATTGAGAAAGAAGCCATTAAGCAACAGGAGAGTAGGCGTCGCTATTCTTCCGAAGTTCTTCTACAAATATTAGCAAAACCAAATTAGCTCTTTAGAATTGATCTCTCTTATGTATTCCTTATTGTCAGCTCAAAGATCGTAACTAAATCCGTCAACAAAATTAGGGGAATAAATAGCAAAGTTTCATTCTCAAAATAATATTGCCGAAAAAGATTTTGAAGATATTTATGTGCACTATAAACCAACTTTGCTTGAGCTTCATACTAGTTTCCATTTCTTTGAAATAGAAAATAATTTGTGAAGAAGTTTTTTCATTATTTAGCTAAACGAATAAAAAAATATTTTTTGCTTTTTTGTCCGATTAATTGCTTATGTATAATGTAGATTAAATGATCTTATTCTCAATTTTTTTCGGGGGACATTACCGGTACTTGTCCCCCCGGCACATTTTCTGGGGGGACAATGTCCCCCTGTCCCCCTGCTTCCGCCGCCACTGACGAAATAAATTATTTATGGTATGTTAGGCATTTCTATAATGTACATAAATTCTTCCTATAATTCTTGTCAAGTGCTATAAACACTTTTCACGGCCCAGTAGTCTCACAAGTTCAGACCTAAGAACTTTTCAATTTTAACATGTAACTAAATACTTCACCTTATTTGATACAAATCGAAATGTATTCAACGATATTTCTCCCTTTAATCATTGAACACTTACACCGATGCCGGAGACTATTTAAATACTACCCATTCCAATTCCACCCTGAACTAAACCGATTTGTTTGCATTAATATTTCCCCTTTTGGTGAAAAAATATTCAAATTTCTTTACGTAATTATGCTTTCGTACACATTGTCTATATCAAGCCACCTATACTTTTCGTCCACGCCACTACCTAAAAAGATTCAAGGATTCGTATTCTGTGTAATGTACTCTCTAATAATTGGATCTTCTTGGAACTGGAACGTTTTAGACAAGGCTCAAATACAAATGATCAATACTTGTCTGGATTTCGAGGTCAAAATATTGCAAGGTGTGTAGTTCTTTTAAAATTCTTGGTAAAATTTTTAAAAGTCCTTTTTAAAAGTTAGCCATTTTCGTAAGGCTACTTTACAAAGAAATTAACTTCCATATATAAATATTTTATTTTTCCATAGGCGAAGAAAAACTGAAAACTTCTGTGCAAACTAAGGGAATGTTCGTCTTCTTCCACATATTGAAACACAACTACTACCTGATTCCTTTAGCAGTTCTTGGCTTGATATTAATTGATCCTTGCACGCCCCCGTTCCTCTTGTCTATGTCGACGAATTGCTCAGCAATACGATGGAATGGGTGGGTGATACTGATCCCACTTATAGAAACGTACATCTGTGCTTGTTTCTTCTATATTGGAATAGTTGCAATCGTATACAATCTTTTCGCCGGAATTAGCTCGCTGATGAGCTACTTTCAGCTACTGGAGAGGTAAAATTGATGTGAACATTAAACAGTTGTTATCCAAATAATTTTTAATGAACTTACATTTAGAATTTACCTCATGTTGAAGATTTTAAAAACCTTGTTCATTTTTTATCCTCAGAAAAATATTGACGGCAACTTCCTTAACAGGGTGCGAATCCTGTATCTCAAAATACCGCATGATCCAACTAGTTGAGAAGATAATGAACGCATTTTCCATGGAACAGGTCGTGCCTTCCATAGTTTGTGGGATACCACTATTGCAAATAGTCCTGCAATATGTAATCATCACGATGCACGGGGAAATTGCGATGCCTGTTTTTCTCATGTTTCCCGCGACTCTGTTCAACGCTGTAGTTAATAATATGCTCATCTTCACACTGGCGTCGTGGGTTTATAATTCCTCTGTCAAAGTTCTGAGGAAGCTGGACATGACGATTTTGCAGTACACGCGAAAATCCGTGATACGTAAGCAGTGGAAATCATGTGGAAGGCTTAAGATTAAATTTGGGTCTAACTTTATCGACGGTGGGACACCGCTGGTGATTCAGAATTTTTGCTTGAATCAAACCATGTCGCTAATTCTGATCAAGGAGGGATAGGCAAATATTTGGCATGCAGTCCTAATTAAAGTACAGTGGATATGATTGACAAAATCGAAAAATAATTACCGTAAAAACTGAAATAGTAGCATCGCGTCGCAAAGAAAGCCTCAGTTTAGTATTAAATCTGCATGCATATGTAAATCCTACGATGTGCAATAAAATAAATTCATTATGTATTATTCGTAGACACACATATGTATGCATTTAAATATCTACATATACCGTCCTTATTTTAGTTTCACTGGTACCGATCTATGTACAACCTAGCAAAAATTGGGTAAAAATCGAACACATTTGCATTTTCTGGTGATTTTGCTGAAATGGGAAATAAAACCAGTCGGTAGTGGTTTTCGATGTAAAACCCCGCCACCTACACGCATTTACATGGGATGAATACGCTTTACCTAATTACGTGGGTATGTGTATGCACATAATGTATATACATACACTAGCATTTTGAATGCCTAATTCAGAATTCTTTCATAATAAAAATCTGAAAACTTAATGAGAGTAATAATGTGAAAAAATTTAAATTGATCTGCGTACAAAGCTTTTTACAATTACATAAATCATTTGCCGGCATATTTATTTAGTCATCAGTGAATAATTTTTTTTATTAACAATAATCAAGTGCAGACCACATGTGCAAAGTAAAAATTTTAGGGATAGGTGGTTTCTTAATAATTAGAAGCAGGAAACTACAGATTGGATTAAATTGAGGCATAAATTGTTTTCTAAAAAATCATTTACATACATGAGTTCTCTACGATCTAGAGTTCTTTAAATTTCTGATAGTTATTTCAACTAAATAAATATTCAATACATGCTTACTCTAATTAATGGAGAGATTGCGCAGGAAAACATTTCTATGATCGTGATAGCAGATAATTTTTAATGTATAGGTACATAGATAGATAATCTATAGTATATTTACGGAATTATCCAAAATTTCAAAATATTATCCACTCTTACCCAAACTTTCTAATACATAACAACTTATTTTCTATAAATTACTTATTATTTATATTTATGTACCTCATAAAGGAACCGTGCATAAAGGGCATAATTTTTCCGTATGTCGACACTTGACACATGTCAGAATTCATTTTAAAAGAATATATATATATACCCCAAATCTGTTAATACGAGCTTTTCAAATAATTGAACCCCACCCGATTATTAGTCAGGTCAAATTTTGTATACACCGTTCCCATAAAAACGTCCCCAATAATCCAAAAATCTTCACTGTCATCGCCCAGAAACCCGAACGCGCACCACGTGGGATCCCCGATTTCCAAGGTGTACTGCGTTCCCGACATTGAGTAGCTCCTCCCGCCAAATGCAATCGAAATGGAGGGAAGTGCCAATCTTGCGGTACATTTTACCAGGTAAATCCCATACGAACTATTAAATACTGCGCCAACTTTTCCCGCCAGGCTGGACACGACACTTGTCGAACCGATGTTAAGGGTTGTTCCGGAATCGATAATGGCGGGGCAACCGGATGTACAATATGACCCCGTGACCCCGTTGTTGCCCTTGACCGTAATCGTACCCATGACTACTTTCCAGTACCCTTGGTCCGTTACGGGGACGTAGACGAAGGGGTCGGCGGTGTGGTAGGTGGCGTCCGTCCCACCGATTATGAGTTCCCCGCCGGCGGTGGAGCCGGCGTCGCGCGCGAGGTAAAATGAGAATTCGCCAGAGTCGATGGCACCCTGCGAGATCATGTTGTCGATCACGGTAGCGATGCCGGTGGTGGGTGTGGTAATAGAGGCATACCTGTTCAAGAAATATTTCATAATTCAATCAATTTAAAAATTGGAATAATTATTCATTTGGTATTTATATTGTATTCATTTAGTCTCAAATCCCCTCTATTGGATGGACTTCTCAATATTCCCCATGTAGTAAGCATAGGACGAAAAATGAAAGTGAATAAAATTATGCATTCACTTATGAATATTAAATGAATAAAAATTTTGTTGATATTAATTCATTGACAAATTTTGAACTTATTTACTCATAATCATGAATGTATGAAATAATGAATGAATGATTTACTCAATCTGTATTGAATGAATGAATGTGAACAGGTACATAAATAAGAATGGCGACATACCCCATCCCTAGGATGCCGACGACGGTGTCGTTCGAAAAGAAGGAGGTGCTTCCAGGCGACCAGATTTCGGTGGTGGCTATCGCAAAGACTTGACCCGTGATGGCAACCCCGCCGAGAGAAACGGACTCCTCTGCAAGGGTCCCGTTGACTTGGGATCCATCGCCGTATCCGATGTGGAATGCCGTCCCGTTCGCGACGTAGGTCGAGGAGGCTGTGGAATCGTACCCTAATTGGTAAAATGGTGGAAAAAATGAGACGTTATTAGGGGAAGATTTACAAGACAAATATTTGGTGGTAAATTATGTCCTTAATCTGAAACTGATTTTACACACTTTTTTATCTACTCTACACTCTCAATAAGTTTTTGACAAAATTCTTACCGGCGGAGATACTATACAACTCTACCGCGTGGTAACACTATAGTAACAAATTGTCTTCTGAGGGTAGGAAATTGCCTCCGGTATCGGTGATACTTTTATTACCTGCGCGTTGACATTGGGGGATGAGCAGGATTTAGCGTCTGTATATATGCTACCCTTCGGTGATAGATTATTACCCGAGCGGTAGAGTTCCATAGTACCTCCGCCGGTAGCAATATAGTCAAAAAATTATTGAGAGTGTTGAAAATGTTAAGAAAAATGCCCAGATTAGAACTTCGTGTTAAAACATGCGCATGTTTTACTACCACGTGGCACAAAATGGCCTCCTTGTTATTAAACTCGTAGAAATCCAGTATTAAAATATTACTAAGCAGTTGCACAAAATACTAATATATTTATATGACTATCAACGTGGTATCGATAAATAATACAGTGTAATGATAGTTCGCTTGGTATTAAAGTTTTACCGCATCGGTTATAAATTTTTAAGGACAGCTAGAATTTGTGCCTTTGTACGAAACGGTATCGACTTTAATACCGAGATGCTTGACTATCCCAGAATTCTAACTGTGTTCGTTTCTTTATTACTACGTGATAAAATATAATACCTCATTAGTATTAGTACAGTAATAATTAAAATATGTATACTTACCCAAACCGGTATTAGCGCAGGCGACCCGAGGAGACGGCGCGGATCCCGTGCAACTTTCCGCGGCCACCCATAAATTTGAAGAACCCGTGTCAAACACGACTTGGAAAGTTTTCTGCGGTGTGCCGATCTCAACGGGGCCGAAATACTGAGTGTTTTGAGCATTGAACAGGCCCACGCTACCAATGGCCTTATCTCCCGGAGGCCTCGGTCGCCATGTGAGCGGGATTCGGATAAGTTTTTTTCTTTCCGGGGCCGGTGTCGAGGTCACAATTGTGGACAAAAGTAGAAAGAAGAAAACGAATTTGTACATATTTTAGGTTTTTGAAAGTTTAAGAAATGTGTAGAAATTTTGTACGATTTCACGTTTTATCTTGAGAAGAAAAATCGTAGTGACATGTGTAAAGTGGAAAGCAGACAAGGGTCAAGGTTTCATCGGCAGGCGAGACGAAGGTGGATTCGTAGGTGTTATTTGTGTCACAAAGGAAGCATTGTATTTATTTGTGTTTTAACGGTCAAAAGGCTGGATTTCATTTTGGAATCGGGACAAAAATAGGGTTGGTTTTTCCCACAATTTTTTTTTCATCAAAGGTGTGGAAAATTGTATGTGTAAGTATCCCATTTAGCCATACATACATACATGTACCCAGGGTATGTACATATGTAAATACATAGGTTTTATTGTAAGATTGTATTGTAAATTCAATTTGCAATTGATGACGGAAAAATATTGTTATATACCATGTAATGTATTTAAAACTTTTTTAATTTTTCACAAGCCGAGCATTCCCATTTTTACCATCACATTATATCCCACGCGAAACCTCGGACGAGAGCACTTATCGTAATTCTGTTCTGTGAGGGGTCTTCTATTTTGAGTGTGCATACATAAGTTGCCTGAATTTCTTGCAGGTGTTCACCCCTGATTGGAGAATCCTTTGTACATAATGTTTTAAAGTCTTTGTTTGTCCTTAAATCAAAGGGGTAAATGGTTAAAAAGCTAGCGAAATAAATAAATTCGGTTACTTACTACCTGCTAAAAAAGACCTATTAAATAAAACCAGAATGATTTTCGGCATTGTAAAACCATGCGAACAATGAATTGTGATAAAAGGGTTATTTTTCATGGAGTTAGATATCTACATACATAGATACACACACAATTTCCTGCACCACATTACTTTACAGTGGCGAGACGTTTTTATGTATTTTATGCCACAAGCTATATATTTTCGTAAATATGTAACACGGCCCACACTTTTCTCAACTCTCGGCGCCTTAGTTTATAACTGGTTAGGACAAACCTCCTAATACGTATCATGTATCTTGAAGAAAATAAAATTTTTTGTTCAGGGTAACATCATTTGGACAAGTCTCACTATGCCCATGTTCATTCATACTCTCCATTCGCACACTGTTGTACTTTTAAAGATATTGAGAATTCGTAGAAACTACGGCACTGCCAGTCTCAAACTAACCCGTTATCATTATTCGAAGGAATTTGGGGCTGACTGGGAATTCAAAATTTCTGAAAAAGTTCAAACCTGCGTAGAGTTAGAGTACTTTGGTTTCTGACCATACATACCTTAAAAGGTATGTATGGTCAAAGACTTTTAAAATTAAAAGTGGTTAAAGGAAGACATTCCTAATTTGCTAAATTCCTGACCTGATCACTAATCCCAAGTTTTTAATAGTTTTGAGACTGATTTGTGTATACTCCTGAAGTCGCCACAAAATCCGTAGGGGGTTATGCACCTTCCTAGAAACATTAAGTGCTTCAAAATAAAGCTTTGTACTTAGCTATGGATGAATTTATTAATAGCGAAAAGGGCTTTGCTCTTTCAAAGAAATATGTAGGATACTTTTTCTATTGAATTTATGCCCACTCGGTTTAAATAGTTACATCTACAAACATACACACATTTTCTATAATATCTGCTGCCAAAAATTCCGAAATTTATCATCAGAAATTATTCGATAAGTATGTTTCTGCGCTCCTTAACTATTCCCGTCTTGCTGCGGGTACTAATTGGTAAGCTAGATAATGTCCTAAAATTTGAAATTTGCACAAGTATTAAAAGTGCAATATGCAATTTTCCTAAATCAGTTACTACCACGTGGGAGGCAACTTCCGCTATCCATAGCGTTACTCGGTACGCGGGAGGGATTCAAATAAGTCAGGCTGATATACATGACAATAGCTACGCTTCACGTATGTAAATGCATAATTATTTAATACTTATCAATCTAAATTTAATAAGGTATTTGCAATTATTACAATTCTTTTTTTTTACTTTTCTTTAAAAGAATCTCTCGTAGTTTTTGAAAACGGGATTGGTTACGGTGTCGGGGTGCTGAATTCGGAGTGTAGTTTTCTAGCGAGGATATCGTCCAGTGGGAGGTAAGGATAGTACTGTTTAATAATCGGGATAAATAATATCTCGAATTATAATCCCGGGTTTAAATACAGTACGCTCATTATTTATAATTCCTTCTTATTTATAATTCCTTATAATGTTTCTTGACAGGCCACGAATTGGGGATCCGGTTTACCTGCAAGTTAATTCCACCGATGTGTTCACTATTTCTACCGTGACGAATCTAACCAGCACGGATGACCCTGCGTACAAATTCGTCGAAGTATGTATGCATGCGTCTCAAGCTAAACAATTTATCGTTGTAAACGCATTTTTGGCAAAACTATGTATACTGTTAAAAGCATATTATTTCCACTATTTTTTAAAACAGTTTGCTTGAGTTTTGCCGTATTGAGGGGCCGTTCTTAAATTATGTAACGCAAAAATCGCGATTTTCTACACCTCCACCCCTCCTGCACTTGCGTTATGACCGGCCCTTAAATAGTTGACACATTAAACATTACGAGATGCATTTATCAAATTATTTTGAAGGAATTACCGGTAAAATGTTTAACACGTGATTATATTACAGTTCACGCACGGCGGGCTACCGGACGGTTCACACCCGAGCTATTTGCCGGGAATGCTGGCACCACCGCCATCTGAAGGGACATCATGTAACTTGGTCGGATTAGGGGACAGTTTCCAGCCTGAACGACTCCCCTCCAATGTTATTTCCAGGACGGCCTGTATAGCTGCGTGGGCGGCCTATCCGGTCGTTCAAAACGAGCTAAGTGCAAATCCGAGCCGATATTTTTGTCTGTATCCCACATCCGATCCGGCCTTTACTCCGGCAACGTTCACCTTTCGGTTCGGACAGGTAAATACATTAATGTAGTTTTTATATATAATTTTGCCAAATTTGTTACCGCGCAGGAAAAATTATAATTTTAATGTGCTTCGTATTGGTAAGCGGGTAATATCCGATCCGACCGGATTATCCGACTGCTTACGAAATATTACATGGATCTGAACCGACACACCGGATATTGTCCGATCGGATTTTCTAAGCCTACCTTTTCCACAAAAAATAATATTGCACTATGAAAATACTTTCATTTCGCGGCAAAATTAAAATCCTACATATTTCAACTGTTTTTTGCTTTTTTCCCGCAGCTGGATCTACCTGGTGCGGCTTTTTGCAAAAATTGGTCCGGTCTCCCTATCCATCTTCAAATCCCGGGATTATCACGATGCACCTGGTTGGGAATTGCGCTCGGGACTAAACCCATTTTTGCCGGGTATATTAAATATTTCATAGAAGGAACCGGCGTCCCTCCAGTCGTCGTGGAGTACATTCGTGTCGCACTATAAAATTATGTAAAATTCGAATTAATTATTGTTTCATCATCTGCATAAATATGTATTTGATAGGGAAATAAATGAAATTATGAGTGGAAAAATGTTATGCATAATTCTCCTAGTAAATAATTAATTATTTCGACATTTTATTTCCTATCACGTTTCCACATGCTAAAATTTTTAGTCGACATTTTTTTAACTGCAAAGTATTTAATTCTGCAGTTAACAAAACGTCGGCATTGTTAAGAGTGAAAGTTATTTATGAGAGTTGGCTTATGAAATATCCAATAAACCGTCTAATAAACCGCCCATGGATTTACCATAGTTTACATAATACACTACATATAGGTAGAATTCGAACTACATTTGCTTTTCAAAAGGGTGAAATTACTTTTTAGTGTGTATTAATTGGTAGGCCAAAAAACTAGTGTAGTATGTAAATCACATACATACTAATCTATTACTTCTGTAGTTTTTGTAATTACGTATTTATTTATGAATCACACAAATTAGCAACATGTGCACATCATTTCACATATTTATTCAAGCGATACATACGTAAAAAATTTTAATAATAATAACATGTGCAAAGCAAATAACAATGTGCATATTCCCCCCCCCCCTGAGAAATAATGTGTCCTCTTTAATATCCACCACAATCGCCCTCACCAGTTGTGCAACATTCCTTCGATGTGCAATCTCCCGGGCAGTTTTCTCCCGGGCTGCATTCAACCTCGTACCCCCCGCAGACCCAGGACCCCTTGTACACGCAGTGGCACTTATGTCCGGCTTCCGGTGCGACAGAAATGATGCATCCCTTCGGCCGGTAGTCGCAGTCACAGGCTGCATAATAATTAAACAAGGATACCAATTATTACGAGATTTTATTATGTACACTCTTGCAAATAGGTATAGTCAGGCAGAAACTGAATTATTGGTAGTAATTTTGCCCCCACTTATACCGGTTTCCGTAAGAATTATTTATGTACGTATATATAGCTACCGATTTGGTAAAACTTTAATACTGCGCTGTTTATTGATATAAGATATCAATTATCATTGATAAGTTGTCAATACCAATTTGGTAGAATCAAACAGGAATAAGGTTTGTCCTTATTTTAATATTGGATTTTTAAGAGTGTACGTTACAGACATTTTTGCATAGAAAAAATTTTGCGAATTTCTTACCAAGTGCGGAGACCAAAGTTAACGCCAAGAAGATTGCGGTGATTGTGAACTTCATATTTTCTTCGGGAAAACTGTTGGGTTAAAATTAATATTTTTAGTTTTGAGATATGCATGTATATTTCTGATCGGAATTTGGTTTGGACTAATTTCAGTAGCAAGTCTGTTATGGATGAATTATTATATTATTATTTTACGGTAATTACCCAGAGATTTGTCTTATTTAAAAAATTTCTGAGGTGTGAAATGATTGAATTTTTTGGTTTGAAATTTTCTCGCGTGGAGTAAATGAGATTAGTTTGAACGTTGAAATAGCTCTGCTGCTTTGGTTAAGCTTGTGGGCACTATTTATATGGCATTTTGGCCGGTGATGTATGTATGTACACAGGTTAAGATAAATAAAACCATGGGTTACGATTTCACATTTACAGTAGGGAAAACTGTGAAATGTCGCAAGTGTGAGGTGAAATGTGGGACAGGAAAGGTCAAGGTTTTATTGCAAGCCAGCAAAGTTCCTTATGGAGGTGAGCTGGATCGCCATTATTTGAGATCCCATCCAATTCACCCAGAAGAAACTTAGATCCGACCCACCCAAAAAATTCAGATTCGATCCATTTAAATCCGGTTCACCCTTAAAAAAGTTGTGATCCCATCCAATAAATACCGGTTGACCAAAAAATTCATAAGCGATCCGTCCAAATCAGATTCACCCAATAAATTCAGATTCGATCCAATCAAAATCCAATTCACCCTTTACTTTCCAGATCCTTCAATTTCGGATTCACAAAAAAAACTCAAATCCGGTCCTATTGAATCGGATCGGGATGGATTATTAAAAATGGATATCCAGCTCAACTCTATCCTACCCTCTATTATACATTCAGCCTGCCTGTCCGCACCACCACCACCGCTTGAGGTCCCTTTTCTATTATAAGTAAGACGAGCTACACCCCTTCCCGGCGCTTTGCGCCTCGCTATGATTGCGTACTAAAAAGTAGATTGTTTTCATAACATAATACATGAGGTACTGAATCCGTTTGCCCCCAAAACTCCTTCTACCCCGAATACCCCGACTACCCCAACTACTCGCAAAACCCAGGTAAAACCCTTGGGTATGGGCTTTCAGTACTAAAACCCCGCGTTTCTCGTTATCCTGAATTTCAGTACGGAAAGCAATACATGTAAATATATATGTACATATGTACTTAAGGGAGCATATATGCTGTATATATACAAGACGTTATACTGTTCATGTAACACAATGCCCCTCACCCCCACAAAAAGTAGATCCTTTCACCAAAATCTACGGGAAACTTGAATTCCTCTTTCTTCCACGCTACTCTCCAGACTGAACGGCTCTCCACTCGCTTATCAATTGAGTTATAGTCCACTAACTTATCGACTGAGTTATAGTCCACCAGCGTATCTACCAAGTTATAGTCCTCCAGCTTATCAGGTGCCAAGTTACGACCCACAGCCTGTCAGCTTATCAAAAGGTTACACACTCTCCTCTCCAATATATTATTTACGTGCAAATACTCACTGAATTTATTTGTCTTTTTAGATAATACGTTACGAGACCAGCTATCTCCACCAGCGTATCTACCAAGTTATAGTCCACCAGCTTATCAGGTGCCAAGTTACGACCCAGCCAGCTTATCGACCTAGCTATTTTCCACCAGGGTTAGTCACCACCATGTTCTACAAACCTTCTCAACCAATTTATTTTTGGTGTATGTTTGTGTTACAGTTGCTGAGTTTAGGAGGCAATTCATCAAAAATGATTACGATAAACATTGATGAATCGGGTAGGGGAAGGGGCGCAGGACGTCGGCGACAGGGCCAAGGATCCCGTCAACCGCAAATGCGCCAAGGTGAAGGGGACCAGGCTCAACGTGGACGGGGTTTTAGCGGTGGGCGTGGGTTTGACGGTGGGCGTGGTTTTGGGGGTGCGAGTGGATTTGGCGGTGGGCGCGGATTTGACGGTGGGCGTGGATTTCGTGGTTGGCGTGGATTTCGCGGTGGGCGTGGATTTCGCGCAAGACGAGCTGCCCCACGGCCGGTCGACCCTATCCTTGCACGCGCCTTGAAGAGCTGGAGCGAGGAGCTCCTCCAAGGATTGAAGGCCAGCAGCAGGCCCCACCACCTCCCCCCGAATCTCAACAGCAACAACAACAGAATTCACGTAGCCCTGTTGAACTGAACCAGGAGCAAGAGGATCAGCTCCTCATGGATATGTAGTTTTGTTTTTTGGGTTTATTTTTATGAAATAAAGATCTCTGATTAATTATAATAATTTGTTTATTGCACCATAGCCAAAAGCCTTTGCACATAATAAATGAGTACACAACATTGACGATCGTAAAATTATAAAAAATAGGCTAAATTATAGGTCGGAACACATGAAAATATTTCACGACAACACTTATATAACCTAAACAAATGCAATGCTAATAAATTTTAATTGTTCATTATTTGGCCTTTGTTGTTGCGTTTTCGTGTCACTCGTACGATAGAGGGCGTGATGTTGTGTTCTTTTTTATCCGCCTTCTTCCTTACTGCATCTTTCCTAGATTCTGGGCATCTGTATGTATGATTCGCTCTAAGTGATATCCCACTGGTGTCCAAACGAAGAAATCACACCACTTTCGGTTTGTGACGTATATTTGCATTACAATCTGATAATAATACGCATTAGACCGTTTTAACCGAAGTTCGCCGTCACGAATTTCAAGACAACTAGTTTTTGGTGAAAATGTCGGCCAGTCTTTTGGATCTTTATCTTTGATAGACGGTGGGCATTTAACTTCCAATAGACCGTCATCGTTCAGTAGTCCGTCAGGCGATGAAGCAAAAATGTCATTTTCTAGAGAAACGAAAAGTCCACACCTTTTAACGGACCCTAGATCCAACCCTTTCGCTTTTTCGTAATCCTTAATGGCATTTGCTTCATTATTTTTTCCATATTCCATGAACGGTATTAATTTTTGAAACACTCGTCTGCCAAAGTGTTTATTTAATGCACCGGTATTATCAGTTTTCCTACCAAGTTTGCTAATTAAATGAGCGCTAGAAGCCGTTATTCGCTTACTTCTCTCGAATTCCCAAGTGGAGCTATCCGATTGGCGTCTAGTCTGCTGTTCGAGCTCTTGCTGCTGAGGTAAAGAAACTTGTAGTGACTGTTTTAACAATGTTACTGCCTCAGCTAATACATCCTCCGTCACATCCGGCTTGCAAGGATTAGAACCGTAATTTTTATCACCCCTCCCACTACTGGGAACCGGAAAAACAATTCTTCTTGCAGCTTTAGGCTTTTTAGATCGGCATCGTTCTCTCAATGAAGCAGCATATCTTTTTCTAAATGGACTGGAGGGAGGTTTATTGAAAAGTGTTGTAAAAATTTTGGTGGGCCAGTATGCGCAATTGTTATAGGAAAACACGGCTGCTAGTATCCTGTGTCGGTAGAGTCCTTTTTGGCCTAAATTTTTTCGTTTTCCCTCCATAAATTTGTTAGCAATAGACATAAAGTTCTCTGACGCATTGCTTGTTTGGTTCTCCATCAAACTGTAGCTCTCGTTTGCTATTTTCCTAAGAGCTGACTGCAAAGGCTCCCAAAAATTGCAGGTCATCATTTTTGCAACGCTATCTGGCTCAGCCCTTTTAGAAGGGTCACTAGTATCGCAGAAGTATGATTTGCATCTGCCATGACGTCCGAAAATGTGGAATGGAATATTTAAGATGTCGTGCTGTAGGTGTTTCCAGGAATCATTTGTTTTATTTTCACTGTAATGTTTTACTGCTATTTTAATGGCTACTGGGATGCGAGGCAAGTGTTTATTCAAACTTCGTCTTTCCTCTATAGAAATGCTTTTAGAGTTTTTTCCTGTTATCCTGTTCATTGCCAACGTCATGCATTTCTTTGTTAAATTTTTATATAAATGATTTTTGCATTCAATTTTTTTTACTTTAATTTCGGGGTATATATTTTCAACACATGCATGTACAGAAGAATCTCCATCACCAATAAAACTTGTATAAACTAGTCCATGTTGGCGGCTCTGTGAAAACCCAGTTTTTAAAATATCGCATTCCATCGATGTAGCCGACCTGACCAATTTTTAGGACAATCGTGATCCACATTTGCGTTTTGTCCTTTATCGCATACAATACAGGTGCTGCATCGAGTGTCGGCAAATAATATTTTCTTTGTTCGCATCCCTATTATTGCAGCAACACCACAGTTAGCAGAGTATGAGTGACCATAGCTTCTTTTGGACCAACCTCCGTCAACACATACTGTTAGTGCAGCGTATTGAACGCCTTGGACTACAACGAAACTGTTTGCTTCAGCAAACAGTTTCGTTGTAGTTCTCTATAGCCAGTTCTTTCTCTCTAGCCAAGTTCTCATTCATCTCCTGTACGAAAGCATCCTCCATTAGGGATTTGCAATTTACTTCGGCTTTTTTAAATGTTCTATAGTCTGGAACTGGGAGATCCATTGTTGTTAATAATGACGTCGCTGCCGCAAACCCAGCAGGGGAACACTCACATCCCCATGCAAAGCTGTCGTTAATCGGAAGTGTATTGCAATCTGAATCGCTAGAAATTACTGTAACCCATCCACAGGCACATTTAAAAACAAGCTCTGTGGATAATCCTTTACGTCTTTCCTGGTCTAACGAAATTTCTGCGATAGGACAGGTTGAAGGGTGAACTGAAATATCAGTAATTCCATTGATTAGGCTTTTGAAAGACAAAATTCTCCTCCCAGAAGCATTTTTTACAAATATTCCTTTTAAATAATCTGGTGAAGGATAGTTTAAAACCGTCCCCACAGGCTCAGTAGTACTTTTTTTAGTTGTCCCTTGTAGTTCAACTGTCCCTTGTAATTCAGTTGTCCCTTGTAGTTCAACTGTCCCTTGTAGTTCAGTTGTCCCTTGTAGTTCAACTGTCTATTGTAGTTCAGTTGTCCCTTGTAGTTCAACTGTCCCTTGTAGTTCAGTTGTCTCTTGTAGTTCAACTGTCCCTTGTATTTCAGTTGTCCCTTGTAGTTCAGTTGTCCCATGTAGTTCAACTGTCCCTTCTGTCCCTCGTTGTTCAATAGTCGCAAGTTTTTTAAGGACATTTGCAATATTACTCGCTCTGCTTTTCTTGAATGTAGACAATGCAGGCATTTCTATACAAACTATACGATAAGAACTAATACGGAGATGTAAACTATAACTAACGGTACAAAACTACGACTAACGATACAAAACTATGACTAACGATACAACACTATGACTAAACATACAACACTATGACTAACGCTACATGAACTATAAATAACTAATTCTAATGCCCTTGGATGTCTTCAAGACTATAACTTGACTATAACTCAGTTGATAAGCTGTTGGAGAATAACTCGGTAGATACGCTGGTGGAGATAGCTGGTCTCGTAACGTATTATCTAAAAAGACAAATAAAATTTAGTGAGTATTTGCACGTAAATAATATATTTGAGAGGAGAGGGTGTAACCTTTTGATAAGCTGACAGGTTGTGGGTCGTAACTTGGCTCCTGATAAGCTGGTGGACTATAACTTGGTAGATACGCTGGTGGAGATAGCTGGTCTCGTAACGTATTATCTAAAAAGACAAATAAAATTCAGTGAGTATTTGCACGTAAATAATATATTTGAGAGGAGAGGGTGGAACCTTTTGATAAGCTGACAGCTGTGGGTCGTAACTTGGCTCCTGGTAAGCTGGCTAATTTTATTTGTCTTTTTAGATAATACGTTACGAGACCAGCTATCTCAGCTGGTCTCGTAACGTATTATCTAAAAAGACAAATAAAATTCTTTGAGTATTTGCACGTAAATAATATATTTGAGAGGAGAGGGTGTAACCTTTTGATAAGCTGACCGGCTGTGGGTCGTAACTTGGCACCTGATAAGCTGGTTGAGAATAGCTCGGTTGATAACCGAGTGGTTGGTGGATAGGCAGATGAGTTGGTGAAGATTGGTTTCGTTGTGGTGAAAAGAAAAAAGTCACATTTACCACACTTCGTTGAGTTTCACTTTGCCCCATTTTTGGGAAAAAATTGATGAAAAATGCCTTTAATTGCAATCAACTCATTCATTTTTGAAAATAAATTAATTTTGATTGGTGTTTTGAAAACCTAATTTTCAGCTTAATAAACTAGTCGATTTCAAATTTCAAAATTTTCAAATTTGTCAGAGATATGAAGGTGTACCTATTTCAAATTTGAAAATTTAGAAATTTGAAATCGACTTGTTTATTAAGCTGAAAATTAGGTTTTCAAAACACCAATCAAAATTAAATTATTTTCAAAAATGAATGAGTTGATTGCAATTAAAGCCATTTTTTGTTTTGCATGTATGGTTGTGGGGCAAGGAGAGTCTACTGTTGCCCAGGGGTGTAAGGAATGCCGTCATCCAATTCCCCCTTAATATGTATACTAAATGCATGCATACAATTCTGATTTAAGCTTATTGGAAAATTATATTTTAAGCAATTTAGCAAATTTGATTTTAAATTTTTACCGTAAGTTAAATTTAAGCTTTTTACAATTTTGTTTTCAGATTTTCTGCAATTTTATTTTAATTTTTTTTTTTGCAATTTAATTTTGAAATTTTTTGCAATTTTATTTTGCGGCTTTTGCAATTCAAATTTAAATATCTTTACAATTTTATTTTACAGTTTTTTTGCAATTTTATTTTATACTTTTTTGCTGTTTTATTTTAATTTTATTTTAATTTTATTTTAAGCTTTTCTGAAATTTCAATTTCAGCCTTTTTGCAATTTTATTTCATACTATTTTTGAAATTTTATTTTAAGCTTTTTTACAATTCTTATTTTGCGCTTTTTGCAATTTTAATTTACACTTTTTTCAAAATTTTATTTTCAGCTTTTTTGCAATTTTATGTTATACGTTTCTGTAATTTAATTTTCAGCTGTTTTGCAATTTAGTTTTCAGCTTTTTCGCAAATAAATTTTCAGTTTTTTCGGAATTTTATTTTCAGCTTTTTTCAATTTCTTTTTATACTTTTTTCAAAATTTAATTTTAGGCTTTTTTGAAATTTTAGGTTAAGTTTTTTTGCAATTTTATTTTAAGCTTTATGCAAGCTTATTTTATACTTTTTCACCCTTTATTTTTCAGGTTTTTTGCAATTTTATACTTTTTTGCAATTTAATTTTCAGTTTTGTAAGTAGGGATAGTATTTGTTCAGTAAAATGTGATCATTTTTTAACTAAAAAACTGAACTTTTATAATCCAGTCGCCGAACAGCATAATTAGTACATGTAAAGAAGGGAAGGGTATGTACATATAGGCATACTTGGGAATGGGCATACATATCCTGCGGTGTGAAATGCATTGCCGACTGAGAAGGTGGGGAGGGGAGAGAGAGAGAGCGAGCGAAAGAGAACGTGGCAACGTCGCACCCAGGGTTCGGAAAAACCCAGGGTTTTAATCAAAAATTATTAAACCCATGGGTTTTAATGGGTTTTACTATGTTAATTGGGTTTTATTAGGGTTTTAATGGGTTTTATTGGGTTTTATTGGGTTTAAATGGGTTTTATTGGGTTTTAAGTAATAACTTACAAAAATAATTCGGAATTTGTATCTATTCGGAAATTATTTATGTTTTATAACACTTGAAATCTGTGATGCTAAAGGATGGAGTCAATTGTTGATTTGTTCCGAATTTTCATATACTAGAATAGTAATGAAATAAACTGCTTTAGAATGAATTGAGGTAACGTCTTCTAACGTATAGGAGATGTATTTAACTTTTAGAATGTGGTTTTAAGGTAAAACTCAATTAAAACCCAATAAAACCCATTAAAACCCAAATAAAACCCACTTAACATGGTAAAACCCAGTGGGTTTTATTCATTTACAGCCCATTAAAACCCACTAAAACCCAATAAAACCCAACCCATTAAAACCCAGGTCGGAATACCCTGGTCGCACCCAACTTTGTACGTACCAAACGAATGACAATAGTTAAGAGTGATGGGATAAAAAATGTGGTGAGTTAATGGGCCTTTGTACCTTCAAGGCCCTCGTAATCACGGCATGAGCCCTTGACCCACAGTAGACCCGACATTCCCAACTTTTCAGATTCTTACCACAAACCAGAGATCTTAAATGAGCCTTCACTTTTGCACAAAACAGAAATCTCTTCCCCCGTAAAATTAAAATATTTAGTCAATCAATTAAAATAAATAAAGGCGATGGTAGAAATTATGTATGTTAATATTTATTAATTTATAATTTTTTCAAAAAAATGCTTATTATGTAAATATGTACATATCTACATAGGTAGATGTATTCATTGTCCGGTCTGCAACTCATTACTTGCACCCCACCTGCCCATCCGTCTGAAAAGGATGGCGAACATAATTTTCAAAATATTTAAATATTTAAATATGTTCCAGCAAATCTGCACATACAACGAGAAGGTGGATCCTTCAGAAGACACCCTGGTCTTGAATTCACCTTAAAATATTTAAATATAAAATAATTCAAATCCTAAATTAAAACAAGTATAAAGAAATCCATCAGTGCACTATGTTATAATTTGGTGGAGTCGCATATATACATATACATATATACTCCGTATTGATTTAGTTTTGTAATAACTTCCTACCCATTGGTAATAGTTTGATTCCGAGTGGTAAATTTTTCATTACGACAACATTACTAAACCGTAATGCTCGTTATAACGAGCGCCGACAGAGTCATAAGTATATGTAATGATTTAATACCAGATTTCTAGAACCACTAAAATGATGACGTAATACATAGATGTTCCCTAACCTAACAGCTCGAAGCAGGCATTCTTTTTATTTATTTATGGATTAAAGCGCTGGTTCGAGCTAAATACGAAATTAGTAATTAATCAATTTTAATCCGTAATTAATTTACCCGTCAATTCCACTAATCGTTCCTGATAGACTTTCATCGCCTCTGAAGCGCCATCTTTTGTCCGTTCGTCTCTCACGAGAAGGAATAAAATGAGGATACTTTTAAAATTGCATATCCTGCAAATTTCGATCGCGCTGTTCTTATCGATAACCAAGTAAAGCAAAATCTCGAGGATTTGTAGCCATGCAGAAATTCCATACACGAGGAGCAGAAGTTTAAATTCGAGCGACCAACGAGACGCTCTAAAAAATGCATACAATGTCATTTTTTGAAAATTCAGGAAAAAAATATACACTCGCAAAAATCATGTTTGCATTTTTTTAAATACAAAAATGATCTATGAATTAAGCAAACTATGCAAAATAAACTTTACTCGTTAGCTCTGGATTTGGTATCGTTTACTTAATTTAGAATTCAGAATGCACTTAAAGGGTTCGGAAAAAGTTTCTCCCCAGTCAATTTTCATGACCCGCGCGGTGCAATAATCAGCTATAATTTCTGAACCTGTAAATATTCTGTTTTGAAAATTTTAACGTGAGTACTCCAATAAGAAAGGTCGATCGTGATCGTCCGAGATATCAGGTAAAAACCTTAGTTACGCAACAATTAAAAATTTAGGAAAATTCGGAGGAATTATGATGTGGTTGGAAAACTGTTAGGCTACGGACCAGCAGAAATTTTGTCATATACAAAAAACGGTCCAATCTACGTAGGAAGATGTCACCTACTAGGAAAATAACAATTGTGCTCAAGATTCATCAGAAAACGGAAGTTCAGTACTTGTTTGTTCTAAAGAGTTACATAAGTGACTCAAAACGCTTAAAAATTATGAACGCGTGAATTTACCACACTACGAAGCCGAAATTTTCAAAATCGACGAATTGGAGTCACATAGCTTATAAACTAACTCACAAAACATTAACATCTCATAGGAACATTGATAACCATCTATAATTTGGAGAAATGTTTCAAGAAAGTGGAGATTTTGGTAAAAAAAGACAGGATGATGAACTTGGTTGTCCTATTCTATGGAGTAATGAATCACCAGTACAGCTATATCCAAAATTGAACCAACAAGATATGAGACATAAAACCGTGAAAAAACCGGATGTATCATCCACGCTTGTCTCAAAATTTAGATCGAAAGTTATGGTAGCGGGTGTTTCTTTGAGCGTGGCGTGAGAACCCTGGATATTACACAAATATGGCACATATCAATGCAAAGAATTTTATGAGGAAAAAGCTACCTAAACACTTTGATAGCATGGGAAACAAGGAATTTTTTCCAACTGTTAGTCAGTCGTTTTCAAGCAGGATGTTGCTGCAACTCACACAACAAAAACGATCATTGAGCTAAGTTAAGGGCAGGATAAAACGGTTTGGAGCAAGAGGGTGTAGTTGGATAAAAATCCGGATATGGGTGTCTTGGAGAACAAATGGCATATACTTAAGTAGGATATGTTCAAGTATCCATAATCACGAACAACTGCGAAACTAACAATGAAAGTTCAAGAGAAGGGCAATTTCATATCAAAAACAACTTTGGAAAAATGATAACTTATCTTTGAGCAAAAAGTTGTAGACATGGTTGACGTGGGTGATGGAAAGACCACATACTAAGGTATGTTTGAGAAAAAAATCTAGGTCACTGCATCTCACGGTTTCGAGAAATGCGCTTTCCCTTTTCAGCAGGAGTAAGTGGGGAGAAACTTTTTCCGAACCCTTTACTGTTCTCCAAATAGTAACATTGATTTTAAGAGTGCATAGTGTCATTTTTTGATAATTTAGTATTTTACCCTTTTTCAAGAAAAATTTTGGAGCCGAAACAGCTTGACACTAAAGTAACCCCGAATGACACGAGTAAAGCTCCATTTTTATGAACGAGAGACACCCATGCTTCCCGAACGAGGGAATACCCTTCGAGACCTGCTTGACACTGGTAACTCCTAAATATAAGAAGAAAAATCGATTTGAGTAATTTCGCAATTTTCTAAAAAATAGGTTTAACTATTTTCACTATTACCTCAAATCTGTTGGTAAAAAATAGATCAAGCTGAAATACCCTGCCGGCAAAATAATGCAAATAGTAGAGTACAAAAATACTTGCAATTTCGAACTCTCCGCGATACGTTTCCTGCAAAAATAGAAACAAATTGTGCCCAAAATAAACAAGTCGTGAATTAAGTTAAATTTCTTAAAAAAAACAATTTTTCAACCTCTTAAAAATAAAAACTGATAAGAGTAAGGCTTGCGATGTTGGGACAAATTTGTAAAACGAATCTATTTAGAAAGGAAAATCATCCATTTAGCAACAATTTCTATTCACAAAAAATACACTCTTAGAAATAATGTTATCTGTTTATAAAATAAATTCAGTCTTAATTTTAAATTCAACTAAACTAAAAACATCTGAATTTTACTCTTTATGAAGTTATAATTACTCTGGATTTAGTATAAGTTACTTAATTTTAAGTTCAAACTACATTTACTTTTCGCAAAGGTAACAACATTTTTAAGAGTGTGATTCGCACCGAATTAATTTCACTATACCTAAAGTAGGACAATATTGTAAATAATTCCTATCAAAATACATCGCTTCAGGGAAAACATCCTGATAAATTATTTCTTGAATAATTTCCCCCGAAATTAGCAGCATCTCCAATCCAACGAAATTTAAGAGGCAAAATAATTCAGTATCGATCCCACCACACGTGACACACAGGCAGACGAACCCCGCCAGTGAACAAAGCAGGTAAATCGAATGGGTCAAGTTGAAGCAGAAATTTTGCAATTTCAACCGCCAGAAGCTCTTCAAAAATTAAGTAATGCATCATTATATGATTTTTTTAAATTAAAATTCCCCCCTTCTTACATATCCATTAGTTAATAATATGTCGATATACATTCTCCGCATCGTCGGAAACTTTAGAATCGTTTCCGAGACAAATTGTACGACTGAGTCGTTACTAAAACAGTCCACTTTTAAACTAAAGATTAACTCGGGAACACCATCAATCTCAATTTTTGGTAAAGAATCCCAATAATTCATCAATTCGTTGTAGTCCAAAGTCTGATTTTTTGAAAATTTCTTTGAGTCAAAATATCCCGTTTTATTCGCCCAAATTTTTATAGCTGTGCCAACATCGGGACTTGCTTTTATTTCTTCTTCCACCTTTGCATTCCAGTCACACGTGTAATTTATTTCTGCCAATTGATGGAAATTTAGAGATATCACGGGCACCAGAAATATCACGCCGGCCAAAAAATATAACAATATGGTGACAACGGAAAATAATATTATTTGTCGCGACACCATTATTGCAGATTTTTAGTAATTATTTTTGGCACAATTCATCCCTTGTCATCCTGAAGGAGTGAAACACTGAACTCTATTCGTTGTCACAATGGGTGTACCAGGTTTGTTCGTAACAGATTTTTTTGCAATACATAATTCCACAAATATACTAACTACAAATAGGTAGGTTTTAGTGCAAAAGTCGGGCCTGTATGCAAAAAGTGCGAATTCTTTTTGCAATTTTTAAAGTACAAAATGCCCCACTCCGGAATCAAGCTTTAGATTGGAGGGTCTTTAACTCATCTATTCTGCAACGGGAAAGGGAGCGTTTTTATGCTAAATTTTCAAAGTCGCTGTTTTTTGTGTACTGGTCTGAGTTTTGCACTAAAAGTTACATAAGTATGTGTATTTAGTAGATATGTGAAAATATGTAAATTTACATGTTGCAAAAAAATCTGAACGAAACAACCTTAGCACAACTATTGTCACGTTATAAATTATGCATATAAAATATATGCACACTCTAAGAAACATTTACTCAAGATTGTATAAAAAAGAGGATGAGTCGGATGGAATTTATCCAACGTCGTGCAAAAATGTATCCAACCGTTGAATAATGATTGTGGCTTAATTTTTCTTACTCAGCTAAATTGACTAAATTTTGCACATTTTTATTTAGAAGGTATTTTAAGAACGTGTGTTTAAATTATGGTTTATTTAGCTTGGAATTAGCACCACATTCATGTGGCTTTACTGGATGAGGTCATAAATACATCATGGGAACAAATTAGCATATTTGTACATATTTTATGTAAATATTTGTCCAATCAGCCATTCGCGTTTTCTCCACTGTATTAAATTCTCTGCAATCCAAACGTAGAAATGTACGTAAATATGCTAAATATACCTACTTATGTAATAATTTGTCTAATTAATTATGCACAAGGTCAAATATATACATATTCTAAGAAGGTAAGTACTCCTCGGGTCCATCGGATCGGATCAACATTTTTCGATCCGTTTTTGGATTAAACAAAATATTCGATCCAATATTTTTTTTTAGAATTTCAAAATTATTCGATCCGCTTTTTTCATGAAGAAGATTATTCAAAAACTATCGAGTGGTTTACCAACAAAGCGAAAGAGTTGAGTCGGATCAACAATTTCAGACAACCTTCTATCAACTTAACTTAAGAATCTCGGTCTCAGCTTGACCGCAAATTTCGTGCAACGTATCAATAGTGCTTAGCACAGATTAATCATCATTCGTAAAATCAGCCAGTTAAATGCATAATATTTAATTCTAAATTTTACTACATTTTCCAAATTTTTAAGATATCTAACAGTCCTCCTATAAAGTATAAAGTAAATCTCGTAAAGTAAATAAATAACCAAGTATATCGAGATTCTAAATTTTACCAAGTTTTAAAGATATCTATGTAACAATCTTTATAGCAAAGTAAGGTGTGTAAATCGATAACAAACTATATCAAGATTTACGTATGAAAATAAATCCTATTATGTACATATTTGGAAACTACGTACAGAAATATTTGATATCTTATGTGTTTACGGAGAAATATTTATTGTCCGGTTTGCAACTCTTCATTATTTGCACCCCACCTGCCCATCCACCTGAAAAGGATTGCGAACATAATTTTCAAAATATTCCAGCTAATCTTCATATACACCGAGAAGGTGGATCCTTTAGAAGACACCCTGGTCTTGAATTCACCTTAAAATATTTAAATAAAAAATAATTTAAATCACGAATTAAAACAAGTATAAAGAACCCTATCAGTGCACACTGTTAAAATTTGGTGGCATTGATTTGTTTTGGCAATAACTTCCTACCGGATTGGTAGTAGGTTGTTTCTGAGTGGTAAATTTTTCATTACTAAACCGTAATGCTCGTCATTACCGGTAGAGTCATAAATACTTATATGTACTCGACAGGTCGGTAATGATTTAAGCCCAGTTTTCTAGTCCTCAGATTAGGGTTTAGGGGTCATCCATATATTATGCAATCGAAAAAATGCATGATCAGTTTTAGCACCCACCCACTCAAACTATAAATACGTTAAGGGATAGGGAATTTTAACATGGGAAAGATGTGAAGGCCTAAACCACCCACCCACTAAGGTGATGACGTAACATATGGACGTTCCCTAAGCGCAGCTCGAAGCAGGCATCCTTTTCATGCATTTATGTATAGCGTTGGATCGAGCTAAAGACGAAATTATTAGTTAATTAATTTTAATCACCAATTAATTTACCCGTCAATTCCACTAATCGTTCCTTATAGCGTTTAATCGCCTCTGAAGCGCCATACTTCGTCCGCTCATCCCTCACGAGAAGGATTAAAATGAAAATACTTTTAAAATTGCATATCCTGCAAATTACGATCGCACTGTACTTATCGGTAACCAGGTAGAGTAAAATCTCGAGGATTTGCAGCCACGCGAAAATTCCATAGACGAGGAGCAGAAGTTTAAATTCGAGCGACCAACGAGACACTCTAAAAAAATAATTCGTCTCTTTCGCATAAACTCATTTTTTCAAAATTTTGAAAAACACACAGTCCTTAAAATCATGCTGCCTTTTTGAAAAGTAAATGCACTCTGATTTCTAAACTATACCCGAGCTGACAAAGGCGTTGATTTGCCAACGAAATCGACGACGAAAGCCGTTGATTTGGCAATTATTAAAAGTTGACTCTTTATAGATATTAAGTGAGCATTGGTCAAACACCGATTTCTGGGTAACTCAAATTAGCCCACTGTCTCAACGCTTGCATGGTACCATTTTTTGAATGCGACGAATAACTACTCAAATTCAGTAAAGATACAATACCATTATAATGGTAATATCTCGCCGTTGATTTCAACTCACCTCATGGGTACCACTTTGTAACCAATTAAATGGTGCCGTTCTCTCGTTACGAATAAGGTACCTGCTCATCAGCTAAAAAATAGCTCTATGCAGGCATTGATCTGCTCCACTAGTATGGTGCTGAGTAGTCAATGATATGTCTGTAAGCTCGGCAAACCGCCAAAAGCAAAATATATTTCTTTATTTCTCATTTCTTGCATGGCCAGTAATCTTCTTATTAAAAATAATTATTAAAATTGTAATGTCGCAGCCACCCAAACAGTTTGCAGTAGTAGAATTTCCGAGTGACCATACGGTCGACGTAGCCCCAAGCAAATGGCTTTCGAGTAAGAATTAAATGATTCGACAAGCAGATCCGCCGACTATTTCAAAAGTACAAATACTCTATTGGATTATGTTCCCCACATGAAACGAATTAAAACTTAGCAATTTTTTCGGGCGCCAAAATTTCCTTTGGGGGGTTATGAGAATAATGGGAGATAAATGTGGTGCACATAGGGCACAGCATATCTATGAAATGGGTTGATGAAATTTCAAAAACAAAATTTTTTTACACTCTATGGATCAGTACCCCCATAGGTTTTTCGAACTGAGGTGGAATTCCGACTTTGAGGGGCTTTTCACAGCGACGCAAAATTGACTCAGAAATTAATTTTTCGCTATAACGAAAAAGTATGACGAAATGTTCATACATTAGCTTTTCACCAATTTTTACTACGTTGCAAATTATTAGTAGTAGAATAAAGGTTAAATTACAAAGAAAGTCGAAATCGACATGCGTGACCTTTTTCGGGGATCGAAAGGTCACAATGTCAAAGGTCACATAGCCACATAAATGGGGTATCGTTGGAAAGGTATTGGCGAGAGGATTCAGAATATGTATACTTTGTGGGGTCTGAAACCACTCCCTGCAAGTCTAGAGGCCAAAGAACGAAAATCGGCAGTTGTCCAGAATTTAACACAGCAGTGGATTGGGAGCTAACACGGAAGCATGCATGGGAAAAACTCAAAAATATTCTTTTGGCTCTATGTTTGCAGGGAGTGGTTTCAGACCCCACAAAGTATACATATTCTGAATCCTCTCGCCAATACCTTTCCAACGATACCCCATTTATGTGGCTATGTGACCTTTGACATTGTGACCTTTCAATCCCCGAAAAAGGTCACGCAGGTCGATTTCGACTTTCTGGGTAATTTAACCTTTATTCTACTACTAATAATTTGCAATGTAGTAAAAATTGGTGAAAAGCTAATGTATGAACATTTCGTCATACTTTTTCGTTATAGCGAAAAATTAATTTCTGAGTCAATTTTGCGTCGCTGTGAAAAACCCCTCAAAGTCGGAATTCCACCTCAGTTCGAAAAACCTATCGGGGTACTGATCCAGAGAGTGTAACAAAATTTTGTTTTTGAAATTTCATCAACCCATTTCATAGATATGCTGTGCCCTATGTGCACCACATTTATCTCCCATTATTCTCATAACCCCCCCAAAGGAAATTTTGGCGCCCGAAAAAATGCTAAGTTTTAATTCGTTTCATGTGGGGAACATAATCCAATTAAGTATTTGTACTTTTGAAATAGTCGGCGGATCTGCATGTCGAATCATTTAATTCTTACTCTTTCTGAAGATTATTTAACTTGCCCATTTCCTGTAAATTCACCTTCAGGATTTAAAAAAATCCAAAAGGATCCAACGTCAACGCCGGACCCAAAGTGGCCAGTTTGGAGTGTCGAGGTCAAAAAATTTTACGGTAACATACAAATAATCAAAAATATTAATATATGCCTTTTAAATATATTTTGAAAACTTTTTAGATGATTTCACCAAGGCAAATGACAAGGCAAAGAAACTTTTGAAGGCATCGTACCTGGATTGCAGTCCAAACGAAGAAGAACGTGGCATAAGCCCAACTTCACTGGAGGAAGGTAATGCAGCTAAAATGTTTTAAATATAACTTATAATAATAAATATGTATGATTTGAATATTTTTTAGAACAGGACAATCATGTTGTTGACATTTCTAACTTAATCTCGCCTACCATTGCATTTGAAGACCAACGGATCTCGACTCTCATCAACGAATTTAGAGATGAAAGAAGTAATTAATTTCATCAGACTAATTATGTGAATTTTATTTTCAAACTTGTTATTTTTGTGATTACAGCATTTCAAGCTGCTTCACTTCATGGCCAACTTGTTTTACAGGAGGAAATGAGAGAAGTAAAAAGCCTGGTTTTAAAAAGTATTAATTCTACAGCGACTGGAGCAAATAACGACGCAGAAATCTGGACGTTGTGGCCCTTGCTTAATCCGGAGGCATTAAAGCAAGCTGAAGAACAATTAAGAAATCCTGATATATTTAGGCAACAGGTGTGAATAGATCTAACCAATATTAATTTATTTATCACAATACTGTTCAAAAAAATTCTTGGTATTTATAGATAAGATTTTTGTCACGGTCTGGAGATGTCGATGTTACCAAGACCCTGAATGGCAAATTAGCATTTATGATTCATCACCAACTTGCTTTGCAAGTTCGCTTCACAGACGATTTCGGAAAAATTCCTTTTAAAGAAACTTTTTGTTGTCGACTTGTGCGAGGTAGATAAATATACTATACAGTGAATTTATATATTTGAAATATTATGAATCAAAATTTAGTTATTTAAAAAATAATTTAGAGTCCGTGCAGAAATATTTTGAAGATGCTCCGCCCACTTCTAATTTAAAATCTCAACTAGGAGATAAGAAGCTCAATTCGCAAATTGCCAAGTGGTTGCGGGACTCGATCAATCGAGGTGAAGAAGGGAAAGTAAATCGCTCAAAACATGGAAAGCCAAAGGTCAACCAAGTCGCGACGAGTCAAGAGGAAATTAATCGAAGTGTTGGCCCGAATTAGGGATGTGCCAACAAATTCAGAATCAATTCTTCTCACCGACGAGACTCACAGCAATGAATTAGGTGGTAATTTAATTAATAATGTAGTCGACGAACGCTGTGTAAGTATAGATAGTCCTAATTGTAGTAATAGTAGCAGCAGCAGTGATTGTGAGGAATATGAATTGCAAAATGGTAATACGCAAATAACTCAACTTGATAAACTAGCAATGCTTCGAAACTGGGCAGTTACCCACAATATTACACATAGTGCTATGAGAGATTTACTTCAAGTTTGTCGCGAGTGGTTTCCATTTGCTCATTTTCCAATAGACCCACGAACCTTAATGAATACTCAGCGAAATATTACTATCGAAAATGTTGAAGGTGGTACTTTTTATCATTTTGGGTTACAAGATGGTCTTATTAGAATTTTAAAAACTAAAGATCAAGATATTAAACTTATTTCTGTAAGTTTGGGCATAGATGGATTGCCAATAAGCAAAAGTTCAAACTTGCAGTTTTGGCCAATCATTTGCAAAGTACAAGATGCTATTTTTTTCAACAAAATTTTTATTGTGAGCTTATTCTGTGGATATCAAAAGCCACAATCGCTTGAGAGTTTTTTGAACCCTTTGGTGGAAGAATTATTGCATCTCTCCACCAAAGGAATTGTCATAAATAATAAAACAATTCGGTTTGTTTTAAAATATATAATCGCTGATGCTCCAGCAAGAAGTTTTTTAAAAAGGGTAAAAGCCCATAATGCTTATTATGGATGTGAGAGGTGTTATTGCAAAGGTGAATTTTCCGGTAGAGTTATCTATCCCTTTGGACATTCTCATCCACTTTTTACAGATTTAAGTTTTGCAAAGAGATTATTACATGCACCATGATGCAAATTTAATATCTCCATTGGAAAGGGCAAATATAGGCATGATTAGCCAAATTCCAATTGACTACATGCATTTGTGTTGTCTAGGTGTAACAAAAAAATTAATTCTTGTTTGGACCAGTGGTCCAATACCCCAGAGATTATCTCAGAAGCATTTAAGCATAATTTCTAAGAAGCTTTTACAGTTTCGCAATCGAACACCCAAGCATTTTTCTCGCAAACCAAGGAGCTTGTCAGAAATAAAGCATTGGAAGGCAACAGAATTTCGTAATTTTTTGCTTTATTTCGGCCCCGTTTGTTTGAAGGGAAGTTTGGCAACCGATAAATATCATCATTTTTTATTGTTACATTCAGCTATTTATATATTAACTTCTCCTTTAGCAAATCAGGCGGATTGGATAAATTTTGCCAGAGATTTGCTAAATGAATTTGTTATGAAATTGACCAGGTTATATTACAAAGAAATGTTAGTTTTTAACGTACATTTACTAACCCATTTGGCAGATGAGGTGAGAATTCATGGCCCATTAGATGGTTTTAGCGCTTTTCCATTCGAAAATTTTATGCAAACCATTAAAAAAATGTTAAGATCAAAAAATGACCCTCTTAGCCAAGTTGTACACCGTCTTTCTGAAATGAATGATTTGGAAATTCCTTCCTCTAGTAGTTTTGTAAATTGCCCTCTTAATCTTTCTCCAAAATTGGGAGACAATTGCTATTCCACCGTTCAAGGTAGAGTATGCATAATTGAAAAGTATAATAGTGAGTTGATGTGTAGATATTTCAAGAATAATTTACAACCAAAATCGTATCCTTTTGAGTCCGAGCAAATTGGCATTAAATATGTCAGTAAATTAGGTGTGTTACAAAAACTCAATCCTTTAGTAATAGCAAAGAAATGTATTCTTCTGCCCTCTCGAAAGAAGTTTTTGTGTATACCTTTATGCAATTCATATGAATCACATCGTTCGAGACATTAATAGTTCGTAATTATTATAATACTTATTCTTATTATTGTACTAATGTTTGAATTAATTTTGAAATCAATTAAATAAATACAAAAATATATGCAACGAAAAATGATTATCGTCAACTTTTTTGCAATGCCTAAATATAATTACTGGTGAGTACCAACCCGTTGATTTCTAATGCGTACTAGTTTGGTACTTATTTTCGGTGGCTAATCAACGCCAACGAAAAAAATCTAAATTTCGTTACCTAAACAGCACCTTTGATCATCATTGAATCAGCAACATTCTGCGTTGCATTTCTTCACTACTGAAGTACCTTTCTCTCGGTACTTGATAAACGCTGAGGGTGCAGCTCGGGTACAAAATCCATAATAAGATTTACCCGTTATCTTTGAATTTTGTATAGTTAGAATTCAGAGTACATTTACTTTTCCAAAGGGCAACATTGTTTTTAAGAGTGTATAATCTCATCTTTCTAAAAATGTAATATTTTACCCTTTTGCAATACCAATTTTGGAACCGAAATAGGTGAAAAACGTGGTCAACAAAGTAACCCCGATTGATACCAGTAAAGCCGCATTTTTATGCAAAATTGACATCCACGCATCACCAATTGGGGGATACCCATCGAGACCTGCTTGACACTGGTAACTCCTAAGTAGAAAAAAATCTATTTCAGTAATTGTGCAGTTTCCTAAAAAAATAGCTTTTAATATTTCCACCATTACCTCAAATCTGTTGGCAAAAAATAGCTCAAACTGAAATATCCGGCCGGCAAAATGATGCAAATAGTCAAATACAAAGCTACTTGAAGTTTCTCACTTTCCAGAATAAGTTTCCTGCAAAAATTTGAAACACATTGTGCACGAAATACATATGTATTTAAGTCGTGAATTAAGTTATTTCTAACTAATAATTTCAATTTTTTAACCTCCTAAAAATTAAAACTGATAAGAGCAAGACTTGCGATGTTGGCACAAATTTGTAAAATGCATCTGTATAAATAAGGAAATCTCCAATTTAATAAGTACAAAATACCCTCTTAAAAATGATGTTACCCTGCTTGAAAATTAAATGCAGTCTGGATTTTAAATTACGCTAACTAAACAAAATCCAGAGTAAACTTTACTCTTCATGAAGTCCACATTACTCTGAATTAAGTATAGTTTACTAAATTTTGAATCCAGACTATATTTACTTTTCGAAAGGGTATAACATTATTTTTAAGAGTATGATTCACTCCCACGTAATTTGACCTTACCTACAGCGGGACAATATTGTAAATAATTCCTATCAAAATAAATCACATCGGAGCAAACATCCTGCTTAATACTCATCTCTTGAATAATTTCCCCAGAAATTAGCAACATCTCCAATCCGATAAAATGTAAGAAGCAATATAATTCTACATCCATCCCACACGTGACACACAGGCAGATAAATCCTGCCAGGGACGAAATTAGGTATACTGCCTGGGCCAAGTAGAGGCAAAAATTCCGCAACTGGGTCGGCCATAAGCTAATCTGAAAATAAAATATTACTTTTCCAAAATGTCCATCCTTTTTAAATTTAAAGTTGTACTTGAGTGAATCATAACCAAAATTAACACAGTTTTTGTCGATCCTCGTCTCCGGGAATTTATTTTAAAATTCTCGACGACAAATTGTTCCCAATTTTATACGAATATACACTCCAGATTTTGAAACTTTTTGAAGTAGGAGATCTCAAGGTTAAATAAGCCTTCAGAAAAATTTTAACTAATCGAAACTGGCTTAAAAAAATTACCGGCTTTCTATTAAACAATTTACTGACGACAAATTTGTTTTCTAGAAATTAAAAATAAACTCCCACCGCCGAGAAATGATTAAAAATGTGCTAATTTTGACAATTCTGATGAGTCATCGAATCCAGGATACGTTATTGGTCTAAAATTCCCGCCCTCCTTACTTACATGCCCGCCAGTTAGCAACGTGTCAGCAAAGGATCTCCTTAACGTGGGAAACTTCAGCACGGTTTCCGAGTAAAATCGCACTAACGACTCGTTCCTAACGCAGGGCATCTTCACCACAAATATTAAGTCGGGAACGCCATCCACCTCAATTTTAGGTAAAGAATCCCAGTAATTGATTAACTCATTGTACTCCAAAGTCTGATTTTTGTAAAATTCTCTCGAGTCAAAATATCCCGTTTGATTCGCCCAAATTTTTATCGCGTTAGGGACAGCAGGACCCGTAGTTTTTAAAACTTCTTCCATCCTCGTGTTCCAATCACACGTGTAATTTATTTCTGCCAGTGAATAGAAATTGAGAGATATAACAGGCACCAAAAAGATGACGCCAGCCAACAAATAGGATAAAATAGTTGTAATAATTGAAAAAAATATTACACGTGACGAAACCATTATTAAATATTTACAGATTTTAATTATTTTATTATTATTTAGTTCTGTTGATGCCGAGTGTTCTAGACGGAGTGAAATATTGTATTGTATTCTTCCTTCTCAAGGTTATAAATTTCGCATGTTTTTATAATTAGAATTTACCAAGGAATCATTTAAAACCACGTTCGTATGTATGTACATATGTACTTTACTGTTTGAGGTAACTTTATTTTCCACTTAGGTACGTATGTATGTACATTCATATCTGCAAGTAATCACGTATGGCAAAAAAAATTCGCAAAAAATAAACACATTTTCCGAGGTACATACACTCTTAAAACCCCTGAGTGGAATATGTAATCCACACTAGTATTGTTTTGCATTCTCATCATCTCCACAATCATTGTCGGTATGCAGACAAAGAATTATCTGATTAATTATGCACACAATTGCTTATAACAAAAAACATTCGAAGAATCTCACCATGGAGGTCTCCCAACGTATGCTCACAGATTTGGGCCAAATTGGTGTCAATCGATCACAAATATAATTAGTGTGACATTTTCAAATGGAACTATCTGCCAATGCTCAAGTTTGGCGGAGATATTTGCATTCAAAGCGGAAAAATGCGAGGCAACTTTGGAACATGAGAAATTTGCCAGCCTTGGGGGTGCGTTTTCTCTGTTTTTATGCAAATATCTCCGCTAAACTTGAGCATTGGCAGATAGTGCCATTTGCAACTTTCATACTAATTATATTTGTGATCGATTGAAGCTAGTTTGGTCCAAATCTATGAGCATACGTTGGGAGACCTTCATAGTCAATCAGTCTCAACTGAATACAAATTTTATTCAACGTGCTAATTGCGTCCATAGTACAAGTTAAATAATTTCCTTTCGCTAAATTAGAAGTTTAATACATATTTAATTTTAAATTTTTCTCAAATTTTTAAGATAATCATGCTAAAAATAATCACACTCTTAGAAATCCAATATTAAAATAATAGGAAGCAGTAATAATATATTTATGCCTCTACAAAATTCATTTTGATCAGTAAAATAGTGGAAACTTAAGTTTAACTTCTTTAATTACAGCTTAGTATTATCTTACTTCTACATAGATTTCTAAGAGTGTATTTAGTCAGTCACTAGTTAATTTCAATCAAATATTTTTAACACCTTTAAAAACAATGAGATTTAAACAACCCATAATTTTAGTGGTGCTCCTGACCACCTCCTTGCTCATTTTATCCATCCCATTCTGGATTTTCGACCTGAATAACAACACTCCAATCGTGCTCCGATGCGATTTGAACACTTCAGTGGAAAATCTAATAGAGGAATTTAAACAGGAGGGGAAAAATTTCACAGTTCCCGAATTTTTGCATTTATACGGAGAAGTCACGAAATTCCATTTTGACAATAGGAATTCCTCCGATTATAACGACCTCATCCCGTACATCGTGTACAACTCGACGTTCTACGATCTAACGCCAAACAGTGTGATAATGATTTACTACACGTGCATAAATAACACAAAGGAACAGGTAATGTTTTTAGTGGAAATGGACGAGTTGTATCCGGAATTTTATTCATTCCGGAAAAACAGGATGGAAAATATTAAATATTCTCAAGTAAGTGAGGTTACACTCTTAAAAATCGGGTATTAAACTAATACCGAGCGATATTCATATTTGGAAGACCCAGGCCGGCTTGTTTTTAATCCGTTATCCGGGCAGGGGTTTGTGCAGGAGGACTTTGTGCCTTCGCCTCCATTTTTGTGCTCACACTTACAATAGGGACGCAAACCATGTTCAAACCAGATAATTTTTGGACCATGTTAATTCGAAAGAGAAACTGCATTAGTGCGGCATTTGCGGCAGATGCGAAAAATTCAGCAAGTTCTGGGCGCCACAAGTTCGCATAACTGCTACCACAAGCCCAGATTCCGCTGAAAAACTGAGCGTTTTCGCGAACTTGTGGCGCCCAAAACTTGTCGAATTTTTTACATCTGCTCAATTGCTGTATTCTAAAGAGCTGCGCTTTCAAACTAGCATGATAAAAAATAATCTGGGCTGAATATGTTCTGCGTCCCCATTGTGAGCAGAATTTCATTCAGAATTTAAGCTTATGTACATATGAAAAATTTGTTAAAAACTTGAAGATAAAACGATAACCATTGAATTTATTTTTTTGGTTCCCCCAAAGAATCTCGCGATCCGAGTCAGGCTATATTTTCACATCCTCCTTGTCAACTGCAGCGCCCAGGTCGTATTTGCGACAATTATCGCAATAACGTACCTCATTTTGTGGGAGCGCCACTCCCTCCACGGCCACCTCCAGTTGTGCTACGTCCTTTTGGAAGCCATCCACAGGACTGGGAGGCTTATCTATCTCGCCTACTTTGTTGAGGACAAAGGTGCCGGAAATAAATATATTTACAACGCGAATTATTTGGAGAGTTGTGCAAAATTTGGTAAGGAAATAAATCTCTTAGCTCCTGTGATTTTGAAACAGCAATAGCACTCTTTTTCCAAATTTTGGTAGGAGATTTGAGGCCATCAAACAAGTTCAAAAGTTTTTGAACAATTTGGAAAAGTCCCTAAATCTCCAAGATTTGGGATTGAAATTTTTATTAATTATTATCAAAACGATGGAACACTGATGGAAAAATTCTTAAAATGTTGAATTTTAGATACAAAAATTTCGTCGCTTAATGAAAATTTTCTAATTTTTCCCATCTCCAGTTTTTTCGTGACATTTACCCTAACTTTCAATCAAACAACCCTAAAGTCTAATATTTTAAATATGTAGACACATTTGCCGAGTACATCCAAATCTCGAAACTCTTCTGGCTAACAATTTTGGTGTTCGACTTGTGGAAAACGTTCGGAAGAGGGATTGTTCTCCTGGGAAAGAGAAAATCAAAATTTGTTAAATATTTCGCCTTCGCCGTTCTATCCCCAGCCGTGTACACCTGTGCCGGATTGATATTACAAGCTTGGGTGTGGTAAGTAACTTGTAAAAATGGTATTAAACATTACTGACAATGGAGGCGCAAGCCATGTTCAGCCCAGATAATTCTTTGACCTTATTAGTTTGGAAGAGCAAGTCTTTACAAACAACATTTGGCTCAGCACTTGGGCAGATGCGCAAATTTCAGCACGTTATGGGCGCCGCAAGTTCGCAAAAACGCACGATTTTTCGGGCAATGCCCAGCGCAAGCTCAACTTCGTGCGTTTTTGCGAACTTGCGGCGCCCATAACGTGCTGAAATTTGCGCATCTGCCCAAGTGCCAAGCCAAATGTTGTTTCTAAAGACTTGCTCTTCCAAACTAACATGGTCAAAAAATTATCTGCGCTGAACATGGTTTGCGCCTCCATTGTGAGTAGAGCACATTTACATATTGCTGTCAAGGCACTGGCAGGGATATTCACAATATGTACATCTATTTTAAATACACTTGTATTTGAAAAATGTAAAATACATATTTCGCATTTAATCAAAAAATAATCGAAGCATTTAAAAAAAATACAAGTGTATCTTGAACCGAAATGGACAATTATGTTTTGTAATTTGTATTTTAAAATTAGAAAAATGTATTTCACTTAAAACCATAAAATATATACTTTTCGACAATACAATTATGTAAGTCACAGTGTATACCTTGCTACCGAGAACGAACAGAGCTACGCGAAAATATAAGAATAGTTTTCTAAGAGGTTTTAAATGATTACAAAATTCAGCTATCACGGATTGTGAAGACTTTTACATAATGACTGACAACGGAAGTAATTTCGTCAAGGCGTAAAACCTAAAATTCCTGATAATTTACCCATATTTTATGAATATTAAAATATTTAGGGGCTACGATTGTTTCTACCTTCTTGAACGGCGGAATGAAACGGCGTTTCAAATTTGGAGAAATACCCCCTCAATATTTCTCTTCGTGTGCAACTTGTTTTTTGTCATTTCTTGCTACCGGAAGTCTAAAGTGATGCAAAAAGAGGGAGAATTTGCGCAGAGAAACGTAACCAGTAGGACGGACAGCAGCAGCAGGTAATTTACTATATTTATATGCACTCTTAGAAATCCAGTAGAGCTGAACCAGACCAAGCGTACTACAAAACTCTTTTCCATATTTAGCAGAAGCAGAGTGAGACTCGGACTCTGGTGGGTATCCACCACCACCGCTGACTGTCGATTCGACAGTGCCGTATGGTGGTCTGTCTCACGTGTCACTTTCTGCAAATTGTTGACCGGAAATATAAATTCAAAAAAGCTTAAGTTTTTAATTTTGGGCGAATTGGTAATACAGCATCACAAATTTTAATAACTTCAATTATATGTCTCATTTTCTCATGAGTGACAATAGTTTGTTACGGCTCTTGCAAAAATAAGTCCCTCCCCCAGAAACTTTAACCCAAAAAAACTCATGGTTCCCACACTTTGCAGTCTGACAACAAAAGCTTAAAATGTTCGTCTTTCGAAGGAGAAAAATCTGGCATTAGGTTGTCAGACTGCAAAGTGTGGGAACCATGAGTTTTTTGAGGATTTGTATGTATGTAAAAAAACCGCGAATTTTCAAATTTTGAAACTCGTGATGCATAAAAATGTTCGTATTCAAGGGGGAATTAGAATGTCAAATACAAGTCGATGTCTAATTCTTACTGTACGTTGTATACATTGACTTTCTCATTTTTTCACCAATTTTATTCCCCCATTTTTGGAGGGGGGTTAGATGCACATATTTCAAAAATCGTTATGTTATATATATCCTTGCACCAGGAATTCAATTTACAATTTTTTAAATTAAATTCGGTGACATCGACGCGAAAAGGATTTGTACAGTACACTTGGTCTTTATCAGTATTAATATCTACCTAGGTATGGAAGCATATATATAATTATTAATAATTAACTAAATGAGTTTGCGTATTTATTCATTTTTACAATTCTGCAGAAATTTTCGAACAATATCCGTTTACAATTAATTTAACTTCAAAATTGGATAAATTATTTATTCACTAGCCTAGAAGCCCGTCTTAAAGACGGTCTACGTTAAAAGTTTTAGATGAACTCCCCTAACACATTGCATTAAAGTAATACATAACTGGCGCTATGTACTAATCATATTACGAAGGTCTAACTAGTGCGCAAATAACATCTAAATCTATTATAATTCCTGATTTGAAAATTGGATAAATTATTTATTCATTATTCAATCATTCAAAATTTGAAAATAGGTATTTATTTAATATTCATTTTTTCATTCATTCTATCTCAAACTCGCCTAGGATTTCTCAATTTACCCGATGTATTAAGCACACTCTGAAAAATTAACAATGCATCAAATTATTCATGCATCCTTCATGAATAAAAAATGAATAAATATTTAGTCAATAATCATTCATTTACAAATTTTTCAAAATTTATTTATGAATTATTCGTGAATTTATTTAATTATTACTTTTTTCATTTCCCCTCAAATTATAAATTTGAACAAGTATGCTCCAAAATGGATCAAAAATCGGGGCAGCACACATTTTAAAGCGTAAATTGTAGCAAAAAATACGAAAATATCCATGGATAATTTGATTTTTTGCTAAGTTTTTTGACAGTCTTTTTATATTTCCCTAAAAAACAGACTTCGCCTTTACATCAAGCTTCTCCTCGTACTGTTTGGCTTCCAGTTTTTCCTCCCACTAATCAATTTTGCTGATGATTATTTCGCAGGCGTAATTTGAGTTGTTGATTACTACAACAATCCTCATTCAGAATTTCAAATTTTAAAAATACTAAAAATTTCGAAAAAATTGGGTTTGATATTGGATTGAAGAAAGCAACTATCTGGGAGTGTAATGATGAAAGAAATTTCAAAATCCGAGTAAAATTGGATTTTTGACGTGGATTTGAGTGAGTGAAAACTGGAGTGGAAGCGTTTTTTGGGCATTTTTGAGTGGGTGTGGCGGGCGCAAATGTGGCCATGGAGTCAAACCACTTCAGGGTTTTAGTACACTCATGAGACCCTATCACATATCCAAAGGGCATCAAGATCTGTTATTATCAACCTCGCAAGCTCCCCTCCTCAGCTCAATGGGGAGATCAAGATTAAATATTTGAAATTTGGAAACCACACCCCCAGTGGGTGTGGTCATCAGCTACTTCTCCATTTTAACGAAACCACGTCATGCGACATATCCTTCTTCTCAGCTCAATGGGGAGATCAAGATTAAATATTTGAAATTTGGAAACCACACCCCCAGTGGGTGTGGTCATCAGCGACTTCTCCATTTTAACGAATCCACGTCATGCGACATATCATTCTTCTCAGCTCGATGGGGAGATCAAGATTAAATATTTGAAATTTGGAAACCACACCCCCAGTGGGTGTGGTCATCAGCGACTTCTCCATTTTAACGAATCCACGTCATGCGACATATCATTCTTCTCAGCTCGATGGGGAGATCAAGATTAAATATTTGAAATTTGGAAACCACACCCCAGTGGGTGTGGTCATCAGCGATTTTCCTCGGAATCACACCAATTGGTGGACACGGCAATTTGATAAGTAGTCTGCATGATTCTTATATTTGCGGAAGTCATGGACTTGGGGTGACTTTTTTTCTTCGCCCACTGGACGTGGATTCTAAACTTACTGATTCACCCGAGAATTTCTTTATATACAGCTGGGCAAAATTAGACTGAATTTTTATTTTCAAATCGGATGTCTACCGACAATGGAGGTCTCCCAAGTTGGGAGTCCCAACGTATGCTCACAAATTTTTACTAGACTGGAATCTGTCGGTCACAAATAGGAAGTAATTTAATGTATCAATACAATTTAATACAATTTAATACTTGTAATTTAATACAAGGGGAATTACCGTCCAAAAATGTAACAAGTTTCCCAAGTGGAAAGCAACATCTGAAACCACTCAACCTCTACTCTGCTCTCGCGCTTCCTCTGTGTGCATCTACGTGCACAAGTGGAAGAATTGGTGATATGGCAATGAAGGAGGAGTTAATTTGTAAACATTTTGTATCATAAAAGTATTGCACATTGCCAAAGTCAATTCAGTAATAAATCGACCTTCGGACAAGTAACAACCTTCTTCATCCTCCAGCCAGCTCTTATTGCCAGGCCATACCCGCCGCCATCATAGTCATCCTATCATCGTCATCACACTATCATCATCCGCATGAAGGGTCATAAGGCGAACGAGAACTGGCTCACCGGGTAGTAGAGGGACATTGGGATTGAACCAACCAATGAAGGGGGAATGGATTTCACACCTTAATGCTCTTAATTTCCCTCCTGTTGAATGGAAGTCGCCTCTAATTTTGCATAATTCTGTTTAAATTTCGTGTCAAGGATGGGTCTGATTACCAGAGACCATTTGAATCTGTTCCTAAAAACCCGAAATCTTTCGGGTAAAATTTTTTTTTACTCATTCTAAATTGCTCCAAAATTAATCCTTCTGACTTACAAAATGTCAAAAATGAAATTGGCAAATGGTGACATATTCCTGCAATATGGGGAGCGCAGCAAATTTGGAAAGTGAAAAATGTGCCACCTTAAGGGGAACGTGTTCTCCTCTTTTTACTTATTCAGTCGCAAACCCCCAGACGAGCTGAGAAAATTGTATCACAAGGCATGTTAAAACCGAAAAGCCTTCGAGTTCAACTCCCAGTGGGGTGTGGATCGTGAATTTGAAGTATATCGTTTGAATCCTCTCTCGTTGACGAGGGAAATCACATGACATTGTTTTGTCAAAATCAAAAACTCCCTGATGATTACACCCATTGGGGGTGTGGTTTCCAAATTTTGCTTATCCAATTAAGATCCCCTCATCTGGCTAAGAAAAATGATTTATTGCATGATAGAATCGATAAGTAGTTGATGACCACACCCACTGGGGGTGTGGTTTCCAGATTGCAAGGTGTAAGTCGTGATCTCCCCATCGAGCTGAGAAAACCTATATATCACATGACGTGGTTTTGTTAAAATCGAAAAGTAGCTTATGCCCACACCCACTGGGGGTGTGGTCTCCAATTTTTAAGTATTCTGCCGTTATCTCCTCGTCGAGCTGAGAAAAATGATATATCAAATGACGTGGTTTCGTTAAAATGGAGAAGTCGCTGATGACCACACCCACTGGGGGTGTGGTTTCCAAATTTCAAATATTTAATCTTGATCTCCCCATCGATCTGAGAAGAGTGATATGTCGCATGCCGTATATGAGTTGGGTATTCGCAGAAGCGCCGATGGCCACACCCCTTTGTCGTCATGAGGTCTACGATAAGGTCAGGTCATTCAGATGGGGTGCACGATGAAGTTTATGAATAATGGTGACGTTGAATTTCAGAAACTACGGTGGTAAGAATTTTTTCTATTGTATTTCTTGGGAATTGACCTTTGACCACACCCACCATTGACCCCTAATGAAGGGGTGCGGCCAGATAACCGCTGGATACGATGACCTGACTATCCGCCAAGAATCTGTACCCAGGTCTTTCGAATTCCCTTGCAGAATTTTGAAATTCAATACGGCAATGTCTTTTGATTTTTTTGACCTTGTGACCTCGATAACTGGTGGGTGGGGCCAAATTTCAAAAATTTGACAATATATATTTCGCCCAAGGGTCCAAGGTTTCCAAAACGTTCGCCATTTTGAAAATCCATCAAGAAATGACCGTGCAATTAATTTTGAAACTTTACATGTTGTTAGTTATGGCAAGGTCGGCCATTTAGCCTTACAATATTATTAACATTGGCCGATGGTCCGTCTTTTCTGGATGGACCATAATTTTGTTTATTTTTGGATGCCGTGATGTGTGCACCAACTTGGTGGCCTTTTGCACACGCAAAAGTATAGTTAGGGAGCCTGTGCACAATTCTGAGAAAGAATCTGGATAAAAAAGGTTGTACTCTTCTTTTGTGGGGATATTTTGAGCTCGACTATTACCAGTCGTTAAAACATATGTTCTTTTCACAAGGGAACCTCAACTACTGTCCCATCTCGATTTCCTTCGGAATAGCCTTAATCGACAGATAATTTAATGAAACTAAAACTTTGTCATAGAACATGCGGTGCAAAATCGCGTTTTCGCGATATGTAACAAATATTTTGCACCAACACCTGCCATTTTCCCAATGCTTGTAACATAGCTGCTAGATTTTCGAATGATGAAATGAACTTTATAGAATATTGAAAAATTATTCATGTACCCGTCCGCGTTATTTCAGCCCGATCACGAATATGCAAAAACCGATGCAGACATTTGCGAATTTTTTTGCAAATTGCGAAAATCGGAAAAATTTCGCAAATTTGAATTCTTCGTTCCTTTAAATTTGACAAAATTTTAACTAATGTAAAATACAATTGTCATATTGCAAACAATTTGCAAAAATGTGCAAAAATTGAAGTTCGCAATTTTTCAATTTTTTATTATCGTTTCATTATACAAGCTAAAAAATTATCATTTACATGAAGGTACCTATGTATGTACGAATGAAGGAAAAGCTAATTTGTTTAACAGCTAAAGAATCACGCCACACATTGCAATTTTCTGCAACTTGCAAAAATAAATATCGCAAATAATTTCGAAAAATACGTAAAATCGACTAGCATCGGTTATTTTAACTTATTTTTCTCAAAAATTGCGAACTTCAATTTTTGCAAATTTTTGCAAATTTTTCGCAATAAGAAAGTTGAACTTTACATTAGCTAAAATTTTGTTGAATTTAAGGGAATGAAGAATTCAAATTTGCAAAATTTTTCCGATTTTCGCAATTTGCAAAAAATTGGCAAATGTCTGCATCACTTTGTGCATATTCGTGATCGGGCTGAAATTACGCGGACGGATACAAATAATTTTTCAATATTCAATAAAGTTCATTTCATCATTCGAAAAAGGCTAGGGCTATGTTAAAAGCATTGGGAAATGGCAGTTTTTGGTGCAGCCTTCGCCAAATATTTCGCGAAAACGTGATTTTGCACCGCATGTTCTATGACAAAGTTTTAGTTTCATTAAATTATCTGTCGATTAAGGCTATTCCGAAGCAAATCGAGATGGGACAGTAGTTGAGGTTCCCTTGTCAGTCTAATTATTTTTTAGCTGGGAAGCTTACATATTTGCTTATGTTCCTAAATTAAATATTTATTCTTTCGAAATACCAAATATACAAATATTTTAAAGGACAAGGTACTCACAAGTAGTGGCACAAGTATCGCCGGACGGTGTTCTTAAATCGAAATACAATACTGATTGCCAAATGCAGTCGGTTATCCTGCCTTATCGGGAAGGTGTTATGGTGAGTACATATTTTTATTGTGAAATTTTCTACATGACACTACAATAGAGGTCGCCTATCGTATGGTTTCGAGTTTTGAGCAATATACATATGTATAGTATCAGCAAACGTCGGATATGAATGAATGACCGATAAAACCTCAAAATATGAATGAAAAATGACCGTAAAAATCCCCTAAATATGACCATAAAAATGACTTTTGAAAAAAAAATTGGCTTAATTTTGTATATTTTTTCTTGTGATACTCAATTTTTAGCAATAAAATAAGTTCTGGGGTGATTTAATTCATTCCTAATGAATTAAATCACCTTAGGCGAAAGTGAATGTAAATTTCTGCAAGTTTCTCACAATGAACCATTATGCGAAAACTGAATCTTTTGTCATTTTCTGTCGATTTGGTTGCCAAATCTTAGAATTTTGCCAAAAATGATAAAATGAACGAAAAAAGCCCGAAATATGATCCAGAATATGAATATGTCCCAAAATCCTAAAATATGACAAATAGATATGAGAAAATATGCTCTGACCTACGTGACCTACTAGTGACCATAAACATTCTCCGAAAGTTAGGCGACTGTAGGTCAATAAATGGAAAAAGTCATTTTTCATTCATATCCGACGTATGAGTATCAGTAAGTATGAATACATACATAAATTATACGCAAATTTGCAAAAAAAAATATCAAAATTGTGATCGATTTGCTCAAAATTGGCGACCATACTCTTGGGGATTTAAGTTATTTGTTGTTTCTATTCTATATTTACAGTACACTTTTGGCGATAAGTTCATCTCGCGTGAGGCACAGGGCGAGTTCGTCTTCGTAGATTTGAAGCGCAGCCAGTGGAACTGGAGTCCCGATTCAATGTTTCAAATTGGCTGTGAGGATGGCGACTTCTTCGTCAAACCGGGCGAGGTTAGCCGTGATTAAGTTCATAGTTTGCTATTTATTCATTATTAATGCTTAGCATGAACTCTCAATAATTTCATGATACCGGATTTGGTACATATTTCGCAATTGTACCGACCGCTTCGGTGGTAATTTATCATCGAGAGGTAACAGGGGCTACAAATATTACCGACCTGTAGGCAATTTCTTATTACCACGCGGTGTACCTCCGCCGGTATCAAGAAAATGATTTAGAGTGTAGTACTGATTTACATATATATTTATGTATTTATATATTTAGGGAAATATGGTCATCAAAAATGGAGTAATCCTTAATAAGACGGCCAGACCGTGGCTGCATTTTGGCGATGAGTTGGGGTTCATGAAATATCGTAACGACATTTCCGGTGGACTAGCCATGTTCAGTTTTCAAGTAAGAAAGAATATACAACTACAAAATGTGTAATATTTTCGATTTGTTATTAACTACTTGGTTACTTTAGGAACGAAAATATACCACTAATTGGGATAAAAACGGACGCAATTCGGCCGAATCTGGGCCGGAGAATGGTGCTGGATTAAATTTCACCCCGGGGAAAAACCAATTGGTACGCAGAATACAAGATTTATGTTCATTTTCCACCCAGATTTATTTGGACATGCTTAAACAATTTCTCACTTTTAAAAATAATGTTATAAATATACCCTTTTGAAAAGTAAAAAGTACCCTGAATTCTAAATTATGTAAGCTATACTACATAAATCCAGAGTGGGGTTAACTTGATAACCGCAAAAGTTTACTATTGATAACATAATCAAGGATTCAGAGTGTATTTTATAGTATTCAAAAGGGAATATTATTCTTAAGAGTGCACACTTTTTGACTTGCAGATATTCTCCCACATTCTGTCCCACCTTTCCTTGGGAAACTTGAAGAACGCTCGACTAGTTTGCAAACAGTGGGACGAACAAGTGTCCCCCCTCGTACGGAAGAAATCCATCATACGTTTTAGCAACTACTGTACCACTCCCTCCATGAGATTTTCCTGGTACAGTGTCGGACAGATGTCTACGTCCACATAGTCGCGTCAATTTCATTTTCAAATTGTCACTGAACTACTGAACCAATTTTCATCATTGATATATCAAATTCTCACAAATTTAACGTAATTTCATAGCACATTATTAGTTTTCCGCTAAAAAATTTATTTTAGGCCAGAGATGTATTTTAATTCAAAATGAAAACAATTGGATGGACAAAAGTCAACGTCCAGTCAGAGAAAACATACAAAAAAAACTGTAATTTATAAGGAATGTTATAACAATTAATTTTTAATATTTGGTTGGGCCTCCGTTCGCTTTAAGGACGGATTCAAGGCGTCGAGTCATAGAGTTTACCAAATTCTTGGTCACATCTTCAGAAATGGTTTCCCAAACTTCAAGAATTCTGGATTTTAGGCCCGGAATTACTGAAAAAGATTGTTTTCTTATTTCTCTTTCAATGTGGTCCCACAGATGCTCAATGGGATTCAAGTCTGGAGATTGGGGAGGCCATTCTAGCTTCGAAATTTTTTTTTCTTGAAGTATTCCATGGTGGACTTGGCAGAGTGTTTCGGATCGTTGTCTTGTTGGAAGACAAATCGTCGTCCAAGTCCAAGTTTTCGAACAGATTCCTGGATATTACGGTCAAGTATTCCCTGGTACTTGTATTGGTCCATAATTCCGTCAACAAATTCCATTTTTCCTGCCCCACTTGAACCCATGCATCCCCACACCATTACCGACCCGCCGCCGTGCTTAACTGTGGGGTTGAGATTTTTTGGATTCAATGCTTCTTTTGGATATCTCCACACTCTACGACGCCCATCTGACCCAAAGACATTGAACTTTGACTCGTCAGTCCATAAAATACTGTCCCAGAATGTTTGTGGCTTGGAAATGTGGTCTCTGGCAAACTTCACTCGTTTGGTTGCATTCCTCGGTACAATAAGAGGCTTCCGGACTGCTCTGTGGGATTTCAAATTTCCCTTGTTCAGTGTTCTTTGGATGGTCCTAGGACTAACTTGTTTGTCGAACATCTCCTTGATCTCGGGAGATAGCTTTGGAGCACTAAGTGAGGGTGTAACGTTGACTTTGTTGAGCACGTGGCGTACTTCTCGGTGAGCCAAAATCGGTTTTCGACCACTTCTGACCTTGTTTTGGACTGAAACATTAGCTCTAAAGTTCTTAATGATTGTCTGGATGGTTGTCCTTGCTAATTTATACTTGGTCCCTATTTGTCTCTGCGACAGCCCCCCTTTTTGTCCACCCTTCCAGTCCTGAATGACAAGATCTCGAATAGCGATAGGAATTTCCTTGCGTGTCGACGCCATCATATTTTTCTGGAAGAAAATTATTTAAAAATTAATGCGGCATATGTTATTGATAGATTTATTAAGTTACCTGATTTTATAAATTGGAGAGATTTTTGTTGTTGACAATTAAAGTGAAGTGGACGTAGACTTTTGTCCGCTCAAATTTCATCCTCTCTCGCTCTGCACTATGATTCTCAGTTTTCCCAGAATTTTCAGAAATAACTCATATGTTTTATGAAATTACGTTAAATTTGTGAGAATTTGATATATCAATGATGAAAATTGGTTCAGTAGTTCAGTGACAATTTGAAAATGAAATTGACGCGACTATGTGGACGTAGAGATCTGTCCGACACTGTACATCCATGAAATGAAGGGTGTCACACCCTGGCCCAATTGGAAGATTGACTGTCCATTCTCCGTCCCAGTAGTGGACGATGTGGAAGAGCACGACGAGAAAGGACGAGCCGCCAAGTTTCTCGCAGATTTGAGCTGGTTTATTAATCCAAGCAGGGGACACCACGTGAAGACCTTGTGGCTAAGTGGGAGGATCCACTCTGACCCAGATTACGACGTGTATATCAATGTCGTCACCTCACTTAAAGATACTCTGGAAGAATTAAGGATCGACCTCTACATGAAAATTTTCAATGCTGATGGACACGAAGAGAACTATTCTACCGAGGGTGATCTCGTTTTCAAAAATTTGAACAAATTCACAATGTGCATAAGCTCCTATGTGCCTGAAACGTTTTCCGCGCCATGGGTGAAACCTTGGGCAAGGGCGATTAAAGGTGTGAATGCCATGTTCATTCTAAGCCAGGTTCCTCTGGGGTCACGATTTGTGAAAGAGCTTCAAGAAGCGGGAACTTTGTCCTATAAAAATTTGAGGGAGATCGAGCTCAAGTGCAAGACAGAGGATGGAATCAATTTTCTGGCCGAGGTTAACCAACCTTTGAAGAAGGTGACTATCAAGATACCCTTGGAAATAGGGGAAGTTTCAAAGTTTGAGAATTTGCTCAAGAAATTTGCCTTATCCTTGGAACTTCTCAGTTTTCGAGTATCTACAGAAGGAATGGCAGAGAAGTCCCGTTTCGCACTGAATTTCCCGTATCTACCGAGCCTGAAAAGTTTGGATTTTCATTTCGGAGTATTCAAAAAAGTCCATTTTTGCAATGGTTACGATTGTTTTATTAAGGACGTGGCACGGTTTAGACTCTCGTTCCCTCCGCTGTCATATTCCCGCCATACTGGCGACGATTGTCTCGACTACGCACGCCATCTTCCCTCGATTCGTTCCATCGTGGTGACACCGTCGTTATACGGGGCTGAGGAGGAGACCATGTTTTGGGACACGTACAGCAACCTTATTGACAGTCTCCTACCAAAGCTTGGACAAAGTTGCAGAACTCTTCGAAATTTCGAAATTCCGAGTCGTGTAGAGTTTAATGCCGAGACGTCACTTCTTCGAGGGACCCAACTGCCGGAAATATTTCCAAATGTGGGGAACAAATGGATAAACGATTTACGGGAGATTAAGGATGATTGAGATATTTGGTATAAAATTAAATTCATTACTAAACTGAGAGTCTGTATCATTGTGTAAAACAAGTATTTTCATCGTATTGTATGAATTACGTGCTAAACTTCATGCAGTGTGCGGATATGTATTTATTTTGAAATTTTTGCATGGTGACGAACTACAGTTAAAATTTAAGTGTTTTGCTTAACTCATAATATGTAATATAGTAAAAATGATAGTGTTTCAATGTGTGTACATAAATACATAGCTACATAAATATGTTGATTCATATTTATCATACATATTTGCAGGCACATGCATACATATGTACTATTATGTACATACATGTGTACAAATATTGATAAATATGTCGGCGATTAAAATTTGTGAACTACATTCACACAAATATTTTGCCCCTTGGTTGCAGGCTTTGTAACTATTTATTTGCTAAAACATCACACTAAAATTTGCGGCATGTGCATACAAAATGTTTGCAGAATTGTGAATTATTTTAAAAATAAAACTTATCCATGTAAACATTACACCTCACAAAATGTGAACCTTTTTTCGGGTCTAGGAGTTAATTTACTTGAATTACTTGTGAACGAATGAACAAGTGATTTTCCTATGGGATCGACATAAATGCTTTGGTAGGGAACGTCCATAAATTTTGTGGCGCAAAAATTCCGATTTTTAGTCCCTCACGTTCAACCCCGTTCTAACAGTTTGGGGAAATATAACCTGTAACGAAAAATGCAACCTGTAACGAAAACTTTTACCCTCCAGCCATAATTCGTGACATAATTCATGGACATCCCCCTTCAACTTAAGGCTTAGTTCAACTTCAAGACCCTGTTAAACCTCATCCACAATTCTGAGAAAGGAATTTGGACAAAAAAGGTTGACGCTTCTTACATAAGCGAAGACACTTTGAACTCGATTATATATGTATGTATTACTAGTCGCTAAAACACGTGTATTCCTATCATTAATAATGATTATTCTGTCCTTGGATATTTTAACATTTATGTTCCTGTGAATTTTTCCAAGGAAGATTTTTCTTCTTTCAAAATACCAAACATTTGTATATTTACAGATATTTCCAGTGACAAAATAACCATACACAATGGCGAAAAAACCTTCCGACGGTGTTCTTCAGTCCAAATTCAACACTGATTGCGAGATGTGGTCGGTTATCCTGCCTTATCGGGAAGGTGTTAAGGTTAGTACGTCGTTTTATCTATTGCGAAAGTGACTTACATTTTTGTGGGTGTCGAAATGGAGGTTTCCCAAGGTATTTTCTCCGATTTTGGGCAAAAATTAGTGTCGGTGCATATGTGTGCAAAAATCTCTGCTACACGTGCCTATTGGGAGATCTTATCTTTCGAAGATTTCATTAATTAATTCATTAAGTGGTCAATTGACGTTAATTTGGTCCAAATCGGCGACCATAATCTGGGAGACCTCCATTGTAAGGGTATTTTGTGTATTTATGACGCAGTACACTGTTGGCGATAAGTTCATCTCGCGTGACGCGCAGGGCGAATTCGTCTTCCTGAATTTGAAACCCGTCAAGTGGAACTGGATTCCCACGTCACTGGTGGAAATTTCGTGTCAAGCTGGCAAATATCTGGTCAAACCGGGCGAGGTGGGCGTGAATAATTTGATATTTGCTTATTTCCACACTCTAAATAATTGGGAGACAAATCGCCACCCGTGGAGGTGCTCTATTTTTGGGTAATTAAGTATTAACCAGACGTTTTGTCACCAACGTTGGTACCTCCGTGGGGGATGATCTATTTCAAAGATTTTTTTAGCATGTATTTATGATAATGATAGTGTTCGTACTTATTTACATACGCATTTATGCATGTATACCTTTAGGGAAATATAGTCATCAGACACGGAGAAGTTCTTAACACCACGGCCAGAACGTATCTATACTTTGGCGATGAGTTGGGGTTCATGAAATATCATGGCGACATTTCCGGTGGACTTGCCATCTTCACTTTTGAAGTAGGCAAAAAGAAACGTCAACTAAAAACTATACTAATGTAAATATATTTAATAGCTACTATGAATTTTGTACTTTAAGAACGTGAATATGAAACTAATTGGGATATATATAGAACAATAGGACTCAATTCGAGTGAATGTCGGTCGGAAAATAGTGACGAATTAATCTTCACACCGGGACAAAATCACGTGGTACGGAAAATGCTAAATTTTACTCTGAATTTTATGTATCTTAAGTACATTATACTAAATCCGGAATAACTTTGACCAGATAACTAAAGTTTACTCTAGATATGGCATAATTTACTGAACTAAGAATTCAGAGTACATTTGGTACAATACAAAATACCCACATTATTTTTAAGAGTGCACTTTTTCTGATTTTCAGATATTCTCCCGCATTCTGTCGTACCTCTCCCTCGGGAACTTACTGAACGCCCGACTAGTTTGCAAACAGTGGGGCGAACAAGTGACCCCCCTCGTGCGGAAGAAATCCACCATAAATTTTTATTATTGGACTATCACTCCGTCCTTGCGATTTTCACAGTACGTCCATGAAATGAAGGGTGTCACACCCTGGCCAAATTGGCAGATTCACTGCCCCTACTCCGTCCCAAATCGGGAAGGAGACGACGAGAAGGTACGAGCCGCCAAGTATTTCGCTGATTTGAACTGGTTTCTTGACCCACGCCAAGGACACCACGTGAGGACCTTGTCGCTAAGCGGGAGCAGTTTGAGCGGAGCAGTTTGTGTAGGAAGTCGGGTTTCATAAATTTTCGGTATTTCGTTCAAAAAATTAAGTAATTCATGTAAATAGTGCCCTCGGAATCTCACATGATTATTATAGTATTCTGTACATCTGTAACCGCAAAGCTTAATGTCTAAAACGATCTCATTGCCTAAGGTGTACCACTCAATCGAGTGATCATCAATTCTAGCGCTCAGCCTTGGCTTGAAAAATGGCTTTGGCATAATTTTGCTCATACCACAAACTGCGGTAAGGTCTGTTCCATGAGCCCCTTCGTTGTCGGATGATGATGCCGACGATGAAGATGTTCCAGACGATGAATATTCAACACCTACATATGAATATACGATCCTTAGCCAAGCAATGATTCGGAAGAATTCTTCCTATGAAAAACATGAGTACCTGATGCTAACGGAGCTTGTGAAGATTTTTCGATTTTCCTTCTTTTACAGATGAACTTTTTGAGTTTCTGAGCAGTCGACGGTTTACTCGAAGAACCGGCTTTCCCATCCAGATCGGGCTTACCACGCTTGGGTCGCTCATTTGCAGAAACAGGCGCATCTTCAGGCACTTGTTCAGATGTAATTTTTTCGTCGTCTGAGGCTAAGTCCTTCAGACTGTTTTCCATCTTATAGACTTGTGAATAGGTTCGAACTCAGCGAACAAATGCGGATAATACTCGCAAATTTTCTCCTTAAATACTATTGCCTCTATTTATATTTTTATTCGGATATTTTTTTTATGTATTTTATGTTTATTTATTGCTGCTTATTTCATTTTCAAAACCGGTTCGGAAATGCTAATTAAAAAAAAAATTATAAGCCTCATAATTCAGAGGTTTCCGAGAAACTTTTTCGGGAACTAATTTCAAATTTTTACGAGGGATAATTCCTCAGGATAAAATACACCTAAAATTATTTCCCCTGTATTATCACTTAACTTATATGTCACAGGTATGCTGTTTACGATTTCTCGAATTTTGAACAAGTCAGTGGTGAACGTCGAAGCGTAACCTTTCTCGAATGTTGCTTTTTGAATCTTAATTCTAACATACTGTCCGATTCGAAATTTAGGAGTAGACGGCTTTGACTTCTGCAAATCCTCGTAACTCTTCATCCAAACATTAAATTGATTGGAAGGCTTTACATCTTTTGGTCGACAGTTTATGGACCTATGCACTGAAGAATTATAGGATTGTACAAAGTCTTGTAAATTGTCTATGTATTTCGTATCATTTGTAAATGTGAAAAACTTATTCAGACGAAGCATTAGCGTTCTATTAAATCTTTCTATCATGGCAGCTTTGAGTTCGGAATGATTATGAAACAAGTTTATTTTATTCATATCTAATATTTTGAGAAAGGCTGCACCTCTAAACTCAAGACCTCGGTCCGTTTGAAGATATTTACATTTACGACCACTGGTGTCTAAAATATCTTGAAATGCTTTTGCTACGACGGAGCAGGTTTTATTTGACAACGGTCTAACAAATGCATAACGGCTTAATACGTCGATTACGGTTAGTAAGAATTTTATACCCTTATTTTTTCTGCTAAATTTCGTAACAGTAATCAAATCACCTTGCCATAAATAGTCAATTGACGGTACAACAATCTTGCGTCTTGGAAATTTGTGACGAACGTACTTATTCCTTGTATGTTTGGTGGTCTTGCAAAAACTCTTTCGCCTTCTGCAATGAAATATGAGCAACTTTAGAGAGTCGTTCCGGACCACCGAAACTTCCGGGGTTCGCAGGATCGAAATAAATTTCATTTAACTTTTCGAAAGACATTGTTAGTGAACTTTTAGCCTACTAAATATTTTCGTGCAATGTTTACTGGTTTGAGTACACATACCGTTTAAGTCAATCCCACGTTTCATGCACTCTTTCTGACAAACTTGCTCACAATTAGAAAATGAAGGGAATTTAAAGTTTATCGCCACAAATTGCTTTACAAGGTTATCATTACTGGTGAGTTGTGTTTCTGAAAATTCATTTACGATATGTAGCTGTATGCCATAGATCTTTTAATTAAGAAATTTAAGCAATAATCACCACATGCATCGCTAAAATTCGACTGATATTGGATTTGAGAATACTTTATACTTTTACCATGCTCACGACAGAACGACAACATACGTTTGGGGTACATATTTATTGGCAATGCAAAGCTATCGAAATATTCAACAAGGTCGGTACCTTTACTTTTCCTGAAGCAAACCCAGTGCATTCCAGGTTCGGTGGATGTTTGATTATTACAGATAACTGAGAAAGAGTCTTCTTTGATTAATTTTAACTGATCTATTGCACACACAGCCGTAAAACCCTCGATGGAACAAAGCAGGGCATATCTTAGTTGATATGAATCCATTACTGGACGCTGATTTGTCGAAACTTATCTATTTCGAGAACACGTTGATGCTCAGAGTATACTAAGCAATTAACTGCTTCTGGAACTGCTGAGGCGAATTTTATTTCTACTCGTACTGACCCAGTTTTTTCTAAATGTAACGTCGAATCCGCACTATGGTTTATCTCGAAAGCAAAAAATGTAAACATTTCAGCAAACTTCTTCCGGTCAAATGTTAATCCTTGATCTTGTCCGGCAATTCCAAGCGAACAAAATAGCATATAATACGGTAGTAAATACGCATTATTATCGAAATCGAGATTTAAACCTCTAATTGGGATTGGTACATTATTTACCGACAAGGAAATAAAATTAATTTTATAATTCTTAAACACAAAATGATTAATTTTATAATCGCCAATAAAACCCGAACTAGGGACGAGACACAATATAATTCTGGACGGAACAGTGCTCATGAAAACATTTTCTTCAATGAAGGATTGACTCGATTTCGGAATTGAAAAGAATTTTACATCAGATTTTTTAAAAGGATATCTGGCACTGTGGCCACTATCTAAGAGTTTTTGATGAGAGAGAACGATACTAGGATAAAGGACATGTTTTCTCACAAATAAACTTGCATCCAAAAATTTTATCTTTGGGTTCAGATCAGGATCCCCACTTTTAGGTCCTGGGTAAAGTAATGAGAACAGTTCTGTGGCCCGTGTTAAGCTAATGTTTACAGTGGTGTCATTTAATATATAACGTTGTTGATAGGACAAATCAAATTTTAATTTATCAATTAGCTCGAGAGGGCTCGAGGATGCGATATATTTTTTTCTTCCCTCATATCCAGTGTTTGCTTTATCCAGTTTTCCTTCCTCGGTATCTAAGATAAATAAGGGACAAGTTCCCTGAAAATTAATGTAGTCCCTTCCAAACGTCAATAGAGTTTCCATATATGCCTTGTACATGTAACAATTATTACTCGTAGACACCAATTGTTGATTGATACTAACATCACAATTCGTAAAGAGTGAATGCATGAACAAATTTGCTGTACTAACGTCAGCATCGGCAGGTAGATCTTTTCCGTCCCCGCAGATTATTTTTACACGGAAATAGCAAAAATGATCGAATAAATCTAAGTACTGTGAAGAATTTCCTACAATTCTGAATTCTATCTTAGCGTCGCTATCCTGAATATTAACCACTGGTTTATATTCGGCGAAAAAGCTCGATTCGACGGTGGTATCGGTCGCAGGCAAACTGAAAAGATCGGCTTGCCCGCGAATTGATGGACTTGAATATTTATTAATCATCGCCATTATCCAAAAATATCACTTCTGCTTCTTGGCTTGGCTCTATTTGATGTCTTAGTTTTAGATATTTTCTTGATTTTATTATTTCTTTTCTTATTATAACCCTTGGTTTGTTTAGATCTAACAACCGAGCAATGTTTCTTTGCCGGCGACCTAAGCGGTAATGAACTTATGGAACTAGATTTTACTCGCTTTGTTCTTACCATGTTGCCTCCCGCTTGACGACCAGCTATATGATTACCAACGTTATTTAACAAACTCGTTGCGTTTGATTTAATTGAGCTCTTTAGAGGTACACCGCTCGTCACATCAGAAATAGTGTTAATAAGAGCATTTTTAGCATGCGGAAGAATATATTTATTTAAAAGAGGCAGCGCATATCGACCTATATATCCTAATATACCTCCTAAACCACCACCCTTCTGTCGATAGCCGTTAAATACCGGGATTCCATTTCCAATTTGTTCGTGTAGAGCCTTATGATATTCGGAATGATCAAATATGTGCAGACGTTTCATTTTGCGCCTTAGTTAGTACACTACAATTATGATCTTTTCATAAGCGACGATTCGACACAATATATCTGTAAGCTACGAGCAACGATATAAATATGAGGACATATCCTCAAAATGTCTTCATTAATAGTTTAAAGTTTTATGGAACTCTGAACTCTCGACAAAATGTCCTTCTATTTATTCCTACCCTCAAACGTTAGCCCTCTTTACTTTCCAGATAACAGAATTTCTTCTTTTAAGGTAACCGAAACGTTTTCAATTTTTACCTGACGAATACGAAGTTGCTCTAACAGAATTAACATATAATCACTCAATGAAAACGTTTTTGCGAGATAGCGATAGACTAATTCGTTTTCGTACCCTAGTTAGCGAGCGTGAAATTTTTACTGGGGTTTTAGAACCGCACTGGCGAGATACCTATGTATTACCGAATCTAAATTATTCATCCATAGTTACATTATGTACAGAATTAATTAAAGCACTTCAAGTCGAAGGCGGGAAGCAGATTACCACTTTCAACTACGATTCTGAGGTAAATCGTGTATCGGTAAACGCTGAACACAGTGAAATTCAACTATCGTCCTTATTGTCAAATTGTCTGGGTTTTCCCGATATTATAAAATTTACTGGAAAAAATACTGCCACAAATCCACCTGATTGTTTCGGGAGTATGTACCATATGTTCGTCTATTGTGATTTTGTACAACCTCAAATTGTTGGTGACAGTCTAGTTCCTCTATTACGAATCGTGGATATCACAGGTCGTGAGGGTCAAACCGTAACGCAAACGTTTCGTCCATATTATTTACCAATCAGTAAGTTGGAATTCGACACCATCGAAATATTGCTATGCAATGAATATGGAGAAGAAATCCATTTCACCAAAGGAATCTCAGTCGTCACAGTTCATTTCAGAAAAAGATCCTTTAAGCATAACAATGGAAATTGACCACGGTAATACATTTCAGTTGTTACATCCTTTTTCTATGAGTATTTCGGGAATTACGCAATCAGGCAAGACACAATTTTTAAAATCCTTGTTGCTAAATTCAAATAAGATTGTCACTCCAGCACCAGATAGGGTTGTAATATGCTTCACAGAGGAACAAGAAGCGTATAGAGAATTAGTGTCAAAATTACCTCATGTCGAACTAATCAAAGGCTTGGAATTCGATCTCGAGGAATTTAATCCGGATATCAATAATATTATTGTAATTGACGATCAAATGAATGACGCTGTTCAAAGCGAAAAAATTCATCAACTACTTACAAAGCGGTCACATCACAAATCAGTCTCTGTAATAATTTTAACCCAAAATTTATTCCCGCAAGGTAAACACGGTAAAACCATGAGATTAAATACCCATTACACAGTAATTATGAAGTCGCCTACGTTTGCTTCACAAATTAATTACTTAAGCAGACAAGTTTTCCCGAACAAATCACGCTTCCTTCCCGACGCTTATAAAAAGGCTACAAAAAATCCTTACTCCTATTTAGTGTTAAATTTGCACCCACGTTGTGACGATCAGTACAGAGTAATACAAGGTATTTTAGGTGAAACGGATAAATTTGTTTATCTACCAAAATGAAATATATTATTGAAATTGAGGGCTTTCAGTTGCACAGTGCATTTATTATAAAAGAATTGTCAATCGTCGCCTCTGATCTCGAAAATCATTTTTTTGTCAAGTCACCGTATAGTTTCGATAGATTGCACATGAACGATAGAAGAATTGTACGGTATTGCGAAAATCGTTTGCATAAAATTTATTGGTCATCTGGAAACGACAAATTTATTACCGTACGAGATTATTTACAAGAACTTTTGAATAGAGACGTAGATAATATTGTATATACTAAGGGAATGGCAAAAGTTAACGTTTTACGAAACTTGTTTAAACTAAATTGCAAACGACTCGGAATCGGACCGATCCCCGAGAAGAGACGCCAAGAACAAGACGACCCACAAGGGCAGAAAGAAGCCGAGAAGAAACATAAGGATAGCGACCGTAAGATTTATCGTTTTATTTTACTCATTTATTTATTTTTTAATTTGTAAATTTACATTACGCTTACGCTCTTATTTACAGGTAGACGAGAAGAAGTTAAGGATGCGGAAGAGAAGCCCATGAAAAAGTCTAACGAAGGACCTAGGCAGGGGTCGGGATCTGGAACTAAGCGAAAAGCTGGTAATATTTTTTTATTTATTAATTTTAAATATTATCACATTCGAGACGTAGATTAATATTTTATATAATTCGATTATTTTCAAATACTCAATGCAAAACATTAACTAAATTAATTGCTCACTTTCAGGCGACGACGATAAGAAGCCTGCGAAGAGGATCGTGAAGGACCAAGTCAAGTCGGCCGTGAAGGACGCTAAGCGGAAGACATCCAAGAAGGATCCCCAGCCTCACTTCAGCGGCGGAGGAGCAGGTGAACAGCCAGGTACAATTAAGAAAAACTTCTCGTCCTACGAAGAGAAGAAAGATTCGCAAAATTCAATTTGGTGGGAGGGGTTTTTAGGAGGCGAATACTACCTCCGACTCCAAACATGGCATAACAACTCAAAAACATATTTATCTTTACGCAAAAATCAAAATGTGGGCGCAAATATTCTGGTCGACCACTATTGGTCATTAGTAAAAGCGTTAGAAGAAATGCGCAACGACGTTGGTAGCATGCTCCCGGCAAAACCGGACGCTTAGAGCTTTATTTGATGTTAAGCTCACTAAAAGTTTTAAAATTCAAATTTTGGTTACAAATACTAGATTATTAGTTATTGCTCCATAAATCCTCTCAATACTTACCTTCAAATTAGCACCGGATCAATTCTGAAAATAAATAAATTCCAATACTTCATTAATTAACTAAAATTGTTGTCTATTAATTTCTCACACAGTTGACGGACTTATCTTTGTTCGTCGTCATAGACGGGCAATGTTTCCGAGGAAGGCTACGCCTGGATCAGCAGCATATGACCTATTTTCTCAAAACTCTGGCGAAATCAGTGGTGGCCGTGTTGGTGTGGTGGAGACGGGGATCCAAGTTATACTGCCCCTCAACCACTTTGGTTTGATTAAGGGGAGGAAAGGATTGGCCGCAGCAACAATGATATCCACAGCAGGTTTGTTGCTCACTATTACATTACTGTTACAAATTGAATAATTACTAATTTATAAAATTTATTTAAGGTGGCATAATCGACCATGATTATACTGGGACGATGAAGATTATCTTGCACAACAACTCGAGCGAAAACTTCGCTTACAAAGCGGCGTCACGCCTCGGGCAGCTTGCAGTAATCCCAATGTACCACGGACCAGTGCGATACGTTGAAGGAACTAAGAAAGACGAAGAACACGGCGTTCAAAGAAGTGAGTTCTTATCCCGCGAGCCGCGCGGTGATAAGGGATTCGGTTCGACTGGACAATAACGCGTTTTTGGCATTGTTCATCACTTCACATATATCACTTCCAACTTGCTAACAATTTTTCATTTAAACTGTTTTGAATTAGTTAATTAATTAATAAATTAACTTTTTAACCGTCTGGTCGGTATTTCCAGTCTGTTCACTGGGCTGTCACAAGCACGATCATATTCATCTGAACATTTTGGCATTGTATAACAACTAGAGTTAAAAACAATCCCATGTTTAGACGATCTCGTTCACTCAAGTGTCGCTAAAACTCCCATTCTCATATGAACATTTTGACATTGCATACATGCTTACACTTTAAACAATCCCATGTTTAGTCAATCTCAAACATTGTAGAAGCTCTGATTCTCATATGAGCATTTTGGCATTGCGTGCCCAATTGCATCCATGCACTTTTGATAATTTCATATTTGTTATAACTTGGCCTAACAATGGTCAAGTTATAACAACAGCCACCTTCCCTCGATTCGTTCCATCGTTGTGAAACCGTCGTTATATGGGGCTAAGCAGGAGGCCATGTTTTGGGATACGTACAGCGACCTGATTGAAAGTTTCCTACCAAAACTTGGACAAAGTTGCAGAACTCTGAGAAATTTCGAAATTCCGAGTCGTGTAAGGTTTAATGCCGAGACGTTACTTCTTCGAGGGACTCAACTGCCGGAAATATTTCCAAATGTGGGGAACAAATGGATTAACGATTTACGGGAGATTAAGGATGATTGAGATATTTGGTATACAATTAAATTCATTACTAAACTGAGAGTCTGTATCATTGTGTAAAAAAAAGAATTTTCGTCATATTGTATGAAGTCTGTGCTAAAATTCATGCAATGTGCGGCTATGTAATTATTTTGAAATTTTTGAATTGTGACGAACTACAGTCAAAATTTAAGTGTTTTGCTTAACTCATAATATGTAATGTAATAAAAGTGATCGTGTTTCATATGTGTGTACATACCTAAATATGTTGATGAATATTGCTATATATTTATTTTGGGGGAAATCGACCTGTCACGAAAACTTTTAACCTCCAGCCCCGTGACATAATTCATGGACATTCCCCACTAAAATTCCATGGCCCTTTTAAACCTCATCCACAATTCTGAGAAAGGAATTTGGACAAAAAAGGTTCACACTTCTTACATAAGCGAAGACACTTTGAGCTCGATTATTACCAGTAACTAAAACGCGTGTGTTCCCATCATAATGATTATTCTGTCCTTGGAATTTTAAGGATTTATGTTCCTGTGAATGTTTCCAAGTTAAATAATAATATTTGTTAAATGTAAAATGATGTATTTATGAAATTGTTTTATGTATTTTTGTAAATTGTTGGATATGCGTGTAAGATTGCCCCGTGACGTGGTGGTGATTGCCATGGTGACGTCAGGGTGGGATTTTTAGGTGCGCGTCTCTCTTTGTTATAGTCGTAGTGAGTAAGTAGGTAGAAGAATTCTACACAGTCGAGTTTTAGTCGTTGTCAAAGTCAGACATTTTGGATTTTAGTCGTCGTGGTAGGAAATCAAGAGTAAGAATTGTTAATTCTTTGTAATTGATGTCCACGATTAATTTGTCAATAGTAAGTCACCAATCAACTCGTGTTAGTGCAGAGCTCTGAATTGTGTTGACAATTAGTAATTTGTTGGAAATAAAATCTAGTTTAAGTAGATAAAATAATCGTATATTCACTCAAGTCACTTTCTTTAATTCCAACGAGCAAAGCACAATTAAATATACGTAAAGACACTATACTCCGGGTAGGTGATAGCTTGGTTTTTACATTAGTGGTGACCTCGACGTGATTGCTCGTTGGGTCAGTTTTAGTTGAAAGTTGACTAGTTATAGTGGTCAGTGAGTGGTGACTTTTTGAGTGAATTAGTGTACGTGCAAAGACTGTTCCGTGGAAATCCTGTGCTATTGTTGCTGTCTGGAAGAGGAGCAGATTGAATTGGTGTACGTGCAAAAAGTGTTCCGTGGAAATCCTGGGCGATTGTTGCTGTCTGGACGAGGAGCAGATTCGAAGGAGAGGATTCACATCAAGCCTTGCCTCATTGAGGACCCGACCCTGAGTATTCGGGGGCTGTTCAGGTGATACCTTTCAAGTTTTTATTGTTGCTGTGAAGTAGTCCGTGAGGAAGGAGTGACCGACTAGATTGAAATCGGCGTGTCCGACCCGAGAGGAACTTCAACTTTATTCGTCTATTACTCAATTACTGTCTTGCCTCGTTGAGGGCCCCATCCTGAGCGTTCGGGAGCCATAGAGGTCGGCATTGTTGCTGATTGAGTTAATAAGCGTGTACTGTTCTAATTGTTTTTGTTTGTTGGATTTGAGATAACATCATGGATCGACTGATGAAGGCGAGGGCTCCAGTTCGAGCTTCCATTACCAAGACGGTGGATGGTGTAGTAGCTGAGTTGGCGAAAGATCCGAAGCACTCAATGGAACTTACCATCAAATTAAGGAAGTTGGAATCCCTGCAGACGTCGATCAGAGAACATGATGAAAAAGTGCTCGCCCAGATGTTGGATGACAATTGCACGGCGGAGGCGTATGGGGAGGAGAGTGCATCATGTGAAGTGTACTCAGACAAAATCAGTGCTGCAATTTTGAAAATTGAGAAGACTCTTTATGCAGAACTTCGTCCACCAAGTCCGAGTGCAAGTAGTAGTTACGTCACGGTGAATGGGGAGCGTATCAAGAAGAATAGAAACTTCAAACTGCCCAAGATCGAGCTACAGAAATTCGATGGGAGTTGGAAGAATTGGTTGGGGTGGTGGGCTCAATACCGTCAGATTCACGAAGATGATGAATTGCAAGTAAACGTGAAGTTTCAGTATTTGATTCAAGCCATCGTCCCCGGATCAGAAGCAGAGAAGGTGATCAAGATTTATCCGCGGTCGGATCAGAATTATCCTTTGGTGGTTGAGAAGCTGAAGTGCCGGTTTGGTGATGAGAAGATTTTACGCCAAATTTATATCAGAGAATTGTTGGGCCTGGCTATCAATAGCGCCGCGGATTCAAGGGAAGATGCCGACGTGGAAGAATTGCATGACCAGTTGGAAGGTCATTTGAAGAGTCTCGAGTCTTTGGGGAAAGTTAGTGATCCAAGTGAACTCATTTATCCATTAGTGGAATCCAGTCTGCCACAGCAAGTGTTACTCCGTTGGCAGAATAGTAACTTAAGGGTACGCGAGAAGAAATCGGAGTTTTTGCGGCTGGAGGCGCATAATCCCAAAGAAAGGAAATTTGTGCTATCAACCTTCAGGCAAAGTCCAGTCAAGAATAGAGAGAAAGTAAACGTGTATGCAGAGAGTGAATGTGAAGATTTCTCCACTGCTGCCGGTCTCTATTCAAGTCATCAAGCTGAGCAGCGATGTGTCTTTTGTGGAAAGTCGAATCACAAAAGTCAGAAGTGCTATAAGGCTCAGACATTACCTCTCGAGGAGAAGAAGATCCTGGTGAAAGAGAATCGGGGATGCTTCATCTGCCTAGGAAGAGGACATTATGCAAATGACTGCACCAAGGAGGTCAGTTGCCAAACTTGTGGACGGAAACACTACTCTGTGATGTGTCCTGGTCAGGTCCGAGATGAGGAAGTGACGTCAATTAATGAAGATGAATCAAGTAGTTCGGTGGAAGAAACCACCACAAACTTCAGTCAGGGATGCAAAAGTAAAGTTGTCCTGATGAAGACGCTTCGTGTCAAAGTGGGCGGAGTAAGTGGAGTCAAGAAGGAAGTCCGGCTACTTTTCGACGAGGGCAGTCAGAGGTCATACATCAGGACGAAAACTGCCCAGGAATTGAAATGTCAAGTAGTGGACAAGTTGACTCTTCAGAATAGTTTGTTCGGTGGACATGTGTGATGAATCTCGGTCCCCATTTCCGCACCAGCGGAAATGGGGACCGCTTTCATTTTTCAAATAATTTTGCACGTAAATAGCTTAGGTTAACACTTTAGATAGTTCTTGAGGATAGAAAATTCCTAACACTTTTTCCCCTGAATTATCCATTATGGAATATGTCATAGGTTTGCTGTTATGAGCTTCGCTAATTTTGTAAATCTTGTCTGTAAAAGTAGGGGAATAGCCTTTCCTGAAAAGCGCTTTATTTATTTTAATTCTAACAAAATCTCCTGATTTTAACTTCGGTTTTTGATGCTTCATCATAAGAACATCTTTATTACTCCGAAACCAAACATCCATCTGATTATACTTGTTGACAGACCTAGGCGAACATTCAATAATTCTGTGTTTGCTCTCATTATATGAATCTACTACTTCTTGTAAAATATCATAATACACATTTGTTTTTCTATATGTGAAAACTTTTTGTAATCTCGTCATCAGAGTTCTATTAAACCTTTCGACCATTGCTGCTTTAAGTGGCGAATGGTTATGAAATAATTTTATGTCTTGTTCCTTTAATAAATTATAAAATTGTTTGTTAAAAAATTCTTTCCCTTCGTCTGTTTGTATGAATTTTGGTTTCCGATTTGAGTTTAGGATTAATTCCTTGAAAGACTCTGTTACTGATTTTCCATCTTTTTTTCAAAGAGGTTTAACAAAAGCAAATCTACTTAGAGTATCTATTACTGTTAATAAATATTTTGTTCCCTTGTTTAATCTTGAATATTTTGATATATCTATTAAATCAGCTTGCCAACAATAATCAACTTCGTGGGAAGTCATTTTACGTCTAAAAAATTTATGCTTCACAGATTTGTTTGTTGTATATGTTTCATAATGCTGTAGAAAAGTTACAGCATCCTTCAGGGATACTCCCGTTGCTGCAGATAACCGATGTGGTCCACCAAAACTTCCAATATGTTTTGGATTAAAGTAGATTTCTTTCAAAAGTTTGTCTGTTTTCATGATTGAATTGTTTGAAATATCCGAACGCAATGTCTATTTTTCTGAATACAAATATCGCTGAGACTATTTGCACATTTTCCGCTACATTCGATTCCACATTTGGAACATTTTGGAAAGTAAAGGTTTGTTTTTACAAAGTTTGATACTATTTTATCATTCACAAGAGTATTTTCTGAGTTGAATTTATTTAAAATTTTATCGTAGGACAAGCCACGGTTTCGATTAATTAAGAAGTATAAGCAATACCCTCCACACAGATTGCTGGAATTTGACTGAAATTGAGATGATGACTGTCTAACCTTTTTCTCGTTTCTTAATGCAAAATCTTCAAATTCTTTTCCATAAAAACCTAAAGGCATTCCAAAGCTATCAAAAAATTCTAGAACAGACGATTCAGTTTCTTTGTAGAAAGCTAACCAGTGCATCCCTGCCTCGTTTCAAGATTGGTTATTACTGATCTTTGGCACAAACAGCTATGAAAAGCTTCATAGAGTTGATTAAGGCATATCGAAGTTGTAAAGAATTCATTATTGTACAGAAATTTGTCTAAATCTGTCAATCTCCAAGATTTTAAAATGTTCAGAAAAAACTAAACAATTTACCGCTTCAGGCAGTGCCTTAGCAAATTTTAATTCGATTCTTACACATCCGTTTTTTTCCAACTGTAGTGCAGAATCTGACCCAGTAGACTGATTAATGTCAAATCCAAAAAATGTCTGACCACTACAAAATTCTTCTCTGTCAAAAGTCAAACCTTGATCTTGTCCTGCTGTTCCAAGAGAACAATACAGTAAATAATATGGTAATAACTTAATATCACTGTCAAAATCAAGTTGTAAACCTTTAATAGGATAGGGAACATTGTTCACACTTAATGATATATAATTAAGATTGTAATGGGGGAATACATAAGGATTAACGTCATAGTCCCCAACAAAACCCTTACTCGGAATTAGACAGATGACAATTCTAGTTGGGATTGTACCAAGGAAAACGTTTTCTTCGATAAAGGATTGTGACGATTTTGGAATTGAAAAAAATTTTACTTCTGATTTTTTGAACGGGTATCGAGCACTATGCCCTCCTTCAAGTAACTTTTGGTGAGACAAGACAATACTAGGATATAAAACATGTTTTCTAACAAATAGACTCGCATCAAGGAATTTTACTTTGGGATTAATCGCGGGACTACCTGAAGCAAGTGCCCCGCACAAAAGGGAAAACGTTTCAACAGCTCTGGCTAGGCTAATGGTAACTGTTGTGTCATTCAAAATATATCGATGTTGATAAGCAAGGTCAAATTTTAATTTATCAATTAATTCCACCGGTTTCGAGGCTTTCTTACACCACTATAACTAGTCGAATCCATTGCTTTCTTTTTTTGTAGCCTGTGTTAGTATCTTTCAGCGATCCATTATCAGTGTCTTTGTAGAATAGTGGACAAGTCGCTTGGGAATTTATGTAATCAGTTCCGTATGTCAAAACTGTTTCTAAATAAGCTTTGTACATGTAACAGTTATTGCTGGTTGAAACAAGTTGATTATTTATACTAACATCACATTGCGAAAACAGGGCATAAATAAGTTAGAAGTACTAACCTCTGCTGCTGCTGGTAAATCTTTTCCATCCGATGCAACAACTTTTACTCTAAGATAACAGAAATGGTCAAACAAGTCAAGATATTGCGATGCATTTCCAGTAATTCGAAAATCAATTTTTGCATCGTTATCTTGTATTTACAACAGGTTTATATTCTGCGTAGAAACTGGATTCAACCGTTGTGTCTGTAGGTGGAAGACCAAATAACTCTACTTGTCCCCTAATAGACGGTTGAGAGAATTCGTTAATTAATGCCATTATCCAAACATATCCCGTTTACTAAAAATTGATCTTCTTTTCTTAGGTGCAGTTGGTGTTTTTCTCTTGTTGCCCGATTTTACGGATGAAGCTTTAGATTTCTTTGGGTTGGACGAGTGATGTGATTCGTGCAACACCTTACACTCTTCTGACGTTGCACCTAGTAAAGCTTTTCGTTTTCTAGAACCTAATCCAGCTCCTGCTTGGGGTTTAAGAATAGATTTTCCAACCTTTTTAGCCATTTTAATAGCATTGGATTTTAGGGCTGTTTTAATTGATTGACCATTTGTAATATCAGATACTGTACTCATAATTGCAGGCGCTGCATGAGGTAGAATATATTTGGTAATGAGCGGTAATCCATATCGACCGATAAATCCCAGAATACTTCCTAGACCACCTCCTTTCTGTCTATAACCTCTAAACACGGGTATGCCTTTACCAATTTGATTCTCTAACACACGGTGATAGTGTTCGTGGTGAAATACATGAACATGCTTCATTTTCTAGACTATTAGTAGTGCCCTGGAAAAAGGATAAAAACTGTATGAAGCTTCGTACGCTAAGCAGTTGAATAATGGAAGTTATCAAGAAAAGTCTTTACTTATAAACGAAAAATCATGTCATTTTACCTACACCTACCTTCTAATGTTAGCCCACGGTACTATCCTAATAACAGGATGTCGTTATATAAAACTAAACTACCAAAACGTTTGAATTTTATATCTAACGAATATGAAGTAGCTATTACAAAGTTTACTTACGTAAATTCTTTGAAAACGTTTCAGCAAGATGACGCAAGAAAAATACTATTTCCAAATGATCCAGAAAACAATATTGGTCATCGCATGGTTAAAAATAAACAATACCAAGATGTACAGTCACTTGTTGAAGAAATCAATTTCTGCTTAGTACTTAATGACGAAGTTTATGCAAGTTTTGCATATAACCCTGAAACAAATAGAGTACATTATTTAAAGGGTTGTGGAACATTCTATATAAATGTGTGTTTAGCTAACATGTTGGGGTTTGACTTATATACCCTTGACGATACGTGTCGATTTGACGTTAGTAGGATAGCAACGAACACCCCAAACCTATCTAGGGGAATATATCATATTTTTATATATAGTGATATAATTAAAAGACAAATTGTAGGATACTGTCTTTGTCCCCTACTAAGAATGGTTAATGTAAGTTCAAAGAAAAATGAAGCCGTGACTCACGAATTTCGTCCTTATTATTTACCACTAAGTCAACTTGAATTTGACACAATTGAAATTCTTCTATGTGACGAATTTGGCGATGAACTTCAGTTTGCAAAAGGACAGTGCATAGTAACGTTGCATTTTCGAAAACAGCAGAATGGAAATTGAAGGTCATTCTCTAAAGCTTTTACATCCCTTCTCGTTAATTATTTCCGGAGTTTCTCAATCAGCAAAGTCAGAGTTTGTTAAAAAATTACTGACTCATGATGCACAATTAATTGAGCCTTGCCCAAGCCGGATAATTGTTTCTTACACAGAAAATCAACCTGCTTATGATGATATGGCTAAACATAGTAATCGGATTGAATTTAGACAAGGATTGGATTTTGATATGTCTGAATTTAGTAAAAAACACCCAACTTTGCTAATAATTGATGATCAAATGAAGGATGTGCTCACGAATGAAAAAATTCAAACGTTATTCACAAGAGGAATTCATCACAATTCAGTATCAGTAATTCTATTAACACAAAATCTATATCCTCAAGGAAAATTCGGACGCGATATACGACTAAATTGTCATTATATGGTAATTATGAGGTCTCCTACGTTCGCATCTCAAATACAATATTTAGGTAAACAGCTTTTTCCACATAATACGAATTTTCTATCTGATGCCTATAAAAGAGCAACTGAGCAACCATACTCGTACTTATTCCTCAATCTACACCCTTTGTGTAACGACAGAACCAGAGTGCTCCAGGGAATTTTTTCAGACGAGCCAAAATACGTGTACATACCAAAATGAAGTACGTTATTGAATTTGAAGGATTTTTACTTCCAAGAGGATTTGTGTTTAAAGAAATAACAATTTGTAATATTAAGTGTACGGAAGACCCCACTTATTTTCAGAAACATTTCTTTATT